TTTGGTAGGTGACACCCGATACAGAATTTGCTTCACAGGGACTGCGTTCTCCACCAATACCACATGTACCACATCATGGGATACCACTGGACTGGGCTGAGGCACATCAGCAAATATTCTTTTGAACTTTTGAACTCGGGGTAAATGAGAAGTCTTAACGTTTAGATCACACAAAACATTAAAATATTTAACTAATTAACAAGTAATAGTCATTATCCTTCCTGCATCCTGGTGTAGCAATTACATAAATTGCAGCACTCTTCTTAAAACTGCAAATGGTTCTTGATATTTAGCTTGGAGTGGAGACTTTCTCATTGGTAAAAACAAAAGCACTATCTCTTGGCTTAAAATATCTTTCAACAGAACCCTTGTCCTACTGAACTTCCATCTTATCCTGAGCTTTACACAAATTAACCTTAGCTAAATCCTGTACTTGCTTAACTTTATTTTTCATTCGTATTACAAACTCATTCGAAGGTACTGTACATTATTATCCTTGCCTAACTTACTTTCACAGAGCAATTTCAAGGAGCCTCGAATGTCTAGGCCAAACAACAACTCATAGAGAATAACTCAAACTTTCCTGTTTATACACCTGATAGCATATGACACATGGAATACCTTCATCCCAGTCTTTGGTAGTCTCCATACAATACTTAGTCATCATGCTCTTAGCGTCTGATGAAAAGACCCGTGCGCACCTCGAATATGGGTGGTAGGCTGAGGATAAGAGCCGAGTAGTTCCCATTGGGGGTAAACTTACTACCTTGATCTGAGTGAACACTGCGTGGCAGAATAGACTGTGAAAAAAAAATGGATAAAAAGGGAATTATAGTTCTCGAGGTAATTTGTCGAAGAGGTATAGCTTCAGGATATCTAGTTGTGGTACACAAAATTAATAACAATTGATTCCCACTCTTTGTTTTTGGGAGGGGACCAACAGAGTCTATGAGAATCTTCGCAAGGAGCTCATCAACTATAGGAATAGGCATCAGCAGGCAGGCTTAATTATCTGGTTTGTATTAACAGCCGCCTGGCAAATATGATAAGACTCACAGTACTTTAATATGTCACCTGAGATTCCTGGCCAAAACAAGTACTGTATAATCTTATCTAAAGTTTTTTCACTGTAAGATGTCCTCCTATGAAGTCATGAGCTAAACTTAACACATGCTGCCTATAGCAAGAGGCTACTATAATAATCTGGTGGATCTCATTCTGGGTCTCATTAGCTGGAACCTCTGGAGGACGAAACATACGCACAGGTAAGCCAGATTTCACATAACAACAATGAATTATCCCTACTGTCAGATTCATTGACGGCTCTGGCAAACAAGGTTGTCAAGGTACGGTCTGAATTTTGAGCTTTAATTAACATTTATTGAATAAGTGGAAGATTACCTAAGTCATTCAACCGAGTACTCTCACTCTGACCTACCATGAATACATCAACCGTCTTCACATCCCCAACATTATCTCAGACACAGCGATACACATCTGTGTTAGCTACTTCAGACTGGCTAGACAATAACCCATCTAACCCAAGATCAGTCGTTCCGGAATCTAAATCATCAACTTTCTCAATATTTTTAGACTGACTACATGTGACAGCACATGATGGAAACAAATATGGAAACTTTCTTCACTACCGCTGTTGAGCTAGTACGAACAAAACATGATTTAGAACAAGAAGACCACCTGCAATATCATTACTTAGCAGACACGACATACCATCAACAGGTATTGAATCCTGCACTCCCACAATCACTGGCTGGGAAATAAGATCTGTTTTAAGATACGACATAATAGAACAACTATGGATCCACCAACTCCCCGGATACCACTTTCTCACCAGTATAAGTTTCATCCACAAATGGGACCGAACCTTTAACCACAATACTGTGAGAAGCTTCGTTATCCCGAAGAATACTCACAGGTGATGCTTCACTCTCCTCAGATACAGAGGACCCACTATGGGTATACGATGAGTGCTTGGAGATAAGAGTGTGACATATTCTTTTCAGGAGATTAATGACTTTCTTAAATAGACAACTGACAATAATCAGACTACAATATCAGATTCTCTGAGGTTTGGGAATCAAATTAATCTAACTTTAGTAGCAATTGGAAACTCATGGCTATCCCCAACGACAATATCACGGGATGCCATTCGTACTGGCAGACTCGACACTCACTTACTTGACAAGTGTTACTAACAATAAAGACAGTTGAAGCTTTCAACATCCCTCACAAAGGATCTTGAATGTTTTAACTGTAATTAAACATATTTGAGTTGACTCAAAACAATGGTGTTCTTTCTCACATTCAAATTTACTTTATAAGAGGTTGGGTTCAGGAAGTCAGAGAAAATGGACGGCACCGAAACTAGAGAAAACGCGTTTTTTTATAAGGCTAACTCACCAGTTATCCATATGTTTTGAGGGCGTGGAGCATAATATGAATCATCAGGTTTCAAACAGACCAGCCGTGCCATTGTGACCATGACACTGTCATCCCGTCTGGTCCCCAAGACATGCTAGGGACTGTCAGTTGATTGAAAATGTCTAAATGAGGGCCACCAGATTGGTATCTGCATTTCGGCACCTCAGCCACCCAGAGAGATTGAAGTGCATGCAACTGCCTAGCTTATACTACAGACGGGGTAGGGTAACCTAATTGAGGTAAAGGTGTAAAAGAGGGTGACCAGTGACCACCAGCAGGAATTGTCCAAATTGGTTGAAATTTTTTCTATACACGTAAATCATATTAAACACAAAAAATAGAAACGACAATGCATAGAACCTAACAGAACCTGACCTAACATACCCAACCTATGGGTTTGTTAGGTCAGGTTCTGTGCATTATCGCGTTAATTTATGTGTTAAACAACTACACTAAATATAGAGGTTGATATTCATCAGTAATGGCGAGGAGGAATACGTGGAAGCGTTCACCATCATTTAGGAAACGTCTGTAAAGTAGACTATGTAGGATGGAGGTGAGAAGGGAAACTCACAATTGCGTTATATATATATATATATATATATATATGTGTGTGTGTGTGTGTGTGTGTGTGTACAATGCAGTGCAAGGGAGTTGCTGTGTGGTGAGGAGCTTGTTGAGAGGAGGTCTTGTCTGTTTGAGAGCATTGAGTAGAATCCCCTTCACGGCGAGGCTGGGGGTATTTATAGAGTCTGCCGGAAGTGAGCGGCGCTGCTGATGGCGGCCAATCACTGCGCAGTCCGAAAGCGAGGCTTAGTCTGAGGAACTCGCGGCAGGAAACTTGTTGTCAGCAGGGTTGTATTCCACATGTGAGACATAACGGGCGGGGGTGTGAACCACTCGGCCGCTATGGGTGACGACTCCGTCTAGTGACAAAATCTGTGGGAGAAGCAAAGGGAGGTGGAGAGTTGTTGATAAGAGAAGGTTGAAGAGGCAAGGAATGTCGTGCCTTTCTCCCGGCAGTTGCACAGTCCTTGGGGGCGCTGGGTGGGATGTCTGCATGATCCTCTTCAGGAGGAGTAGGTAGCTGAGAATGAAAGGACACACAGAACTGTTGTGGACAAGGTGGTGCTGCAAGTGGCAACTATGGGCAGACTGGTGCAGGCGTGGTTTGTTGGGGATAATGCTGGGCTGGGCACCATCGAGTAAGGTGGCCGGCTTCACTCGATTAATGCTGACGGTGTCGTGTCTGCCATTGCGATTGATCGTCAGGAACTTCGCTGACAGTGCAAAAACCGGGAAGGGTCAGTCGTAGGGGCGTTGAGGAGCATCGCGCCTGACGAAGACATACTCGGCGTTGAGTAGTGCAGGAAGGATGTGTTCAGAGCGGTGGGAAGGCTGGCGTGGGGCAGTAGCTTTGAATGCGGCTCGCTAGCCGCTTGGACGATCGGTCACGTCTCTGTCACGCACTGTTGGCAAATACTGGGCATGCACCAGCTCCTGAATGTACCTGAACCCGCTCCAGTGTTAGTCAAGTCTTCTCTTGAAAGAGCTCACACTCGGTGCCGTCACAACACTCTCTGGTAGATTGTTCTAAGAGTTTACAACCCTCACGCCGAAAAAGTTTGCCCTCACGGTTTTCTGGACCAATCTTGAGCTGTGACCCCTTGTGGGGCGAGCGTCCGCCAGCTCCAAGTAAGGACACTCAACTGAGTAGTGCCCCCTGAGATGCTTATACACCTCAACTAGGTCCCCCCTTGCCCGTCTGTAGTATAAGCTAGGCAAGTTCAGGCGCTCCAATCTCTCAGGGTAGCTGAGATGCCGAAGTGCAGGCACCAGTCTGGTGGCCCTCCTTTGAACATTTTCAACCAACTGACAGTCCCTAGCATATCTCGGGGACCAGACGGGGTGACAGTACTCCAGATGGGGAAGCACTTCACCCTTGAAGATCGTTACGAGGGACGGTTCTAATAGGTTCTATGCATTGTCTTTTCCATTTTTGTGTTTAGTATCATGATATAAGTGTGTTGAAAAAATTCAACCAATTCGGACAATTCCTTGTGGTGGTCACCCTCTTGTACACCTTTACCCCTAATGGAGGTGTATAAACATCTCAGAGGGCACTACTCAGACGCCCGCCCCACAAGGGTCACAGTTCAAGGTTGAAGAAGCCCTAAGTCCAAAAAATATTGATGGCGAACTTTTTCTGAGTGAGAATTATGAAGTCTTGGAATAACCTGCCAGAGGGTTGTGAGTAAAAGGTGTTTTGTATTTTGCGCCACATCAACTCTGAGATCTGAATGGGGAATCAGCTGTGGGAGTCAGTAGTGTAGACAAACAGTGAGTAGGACAACAAACTCACGCTGGATGTTGTATGTTATCCTTAATTGCTTACAGTTTTAATAAAAGACAGTGACATGAACAGTAATGGAGCCTCAAGAAGCATTTGCCTTGTTACAACCAGCCAGTGTGGGAGTGGCGAGAGAAGGCAGTGTGGAGAGTGTGAGGGCTCTGAGGCAAGAGGTGGAGAGGGTGGTGAGGCAGGAGGTGGAGAGGGCGGTGGGGCAGGAGGTGGAGAGGGTGGTGAGGCAGGAGGTGGAGAGGGCTGCAGGTGATGGATGGACCAGCTGCATCAATCATTTAAAGGAATATCTACTATTTCCTGTGATCATCCTGCTCAAAAGCGGAAAAAAATGGTAATTATATTTATTAATTTAGGCAGTGGATATTTTGCCATGACCGGCTAAGTTCCTACTAATGCTATTTTACCGTGAGTACACTCTGATAGGCTAATCGTCCTTTACTGGAGAACAACACGAGAACTGTATTTGACCGTGACTGGCGCCATTTGGCATTTATTTCCCTGTGAGTTGATCGTTGTGCAGCTATAAGCACACCTAACCATTTTTCTGTTATGCATGGAACTTATCATTATAAAAGAGGCGACATTTACTAGAACCTAATAGAACCTGACCTAACTAACCAAAAAAGCTACCTAACCTTACCTAACTTCTTAGCCCAGGGGGCAGACTCCCTGTTATATTATAAACATAAAGTACTTGGTCAATCGGAGCGCATTTATGGTAAAATAGTTCAGTAGGAACTTAGACCAATCATGGCAAAATATCCACTATACAGTTGGGTCTGCATTTACGCGGTCAATTGAACCCGGGGAGGCCTGCTTAAAACGAGAAACGCGAAAATGAAATAACAGAACATATGGGATTAATTGAAATAGAGACTGGGCCGACCCCCAAACTCCACTTTTTGCTACACAATATGTACGTTGTAGTAAAAATAGTGTCTTAACGTTATGATAGTATGCACACACACATAATATAGAAGAGAAATATCAATAAGAGAATAATATACTGTACCAGGTAAAAGAAAAATCAAGGTTTTACACTTACGTTAGGTTAGGTTAGAAAAAATCAAGGTTTAACACTTACGTTAGGTTAGAAAAAATCAAGGTTAGGTTAGGTTTAACACTTGCGTTAGTAGAAGAGATGGGTCGGCATACGTTGATGGGGGCTGGTTCCGAGGCAGAGGGCAGATTACTATCCCTCAGGTGAATCGCCATCACTATCCATCACAGTTGTCAGGGCCTCCTTGACAAATCCCTCAAAGTCCATAGCGTCACTGTCACTGGCTTGGGCTGGCTGTGGTGGGTTGCGGGCGAAGAAGTCCGTGATGTTACGCTGATGGCTAGTGTTGATGTTGTCGTGATACATCTTGATGTACGGCTCCAGAGACGACGTAGTGTTGGGAGGAAGGAAGACCATTTTTACGTTGGGGTGACGATCCAACAGTAGGGGCGAGTGTCCTGGTGCGTTGTCAAGGAGCAACGAAATGTTGAATGGAACATTCTGTTGCTCGCAGAATTTCTTGACGTCGGGATCAAAACAGTCGTCAAACCAGGAGAGGGACAGAGCAGTGAACATCCACACCTTACGTGCGGTTAGCCAGTGGACATTTAGCTTGGTTATGTCCATGTTCTTGTAGGCGTGCGGCTTGCGGGCTGTGTGGATCACCGATAACTTGAACTTACAGGTACCGGAGGCCTTGGTGATGAACAGGACTGTGATGCGCTCCTTCTGCAACTTCCTGCCCCGACACTTGCTGGCAGACTTGACAACGAAGGTCTTGGAAGGTAGCTTTTTCCAAAACAGACCGGATTCATCCATGTTGAACACCTGGTCGTCAGTGTACTGTCCTGGTTCCTAACCGAACGCCATTTTTCAAACTACATCACAGTTGCATATCGTTCTCGCGTTGTTCACCGGTAATGGACGATTAGCCAATCAGAACGGACTCACGGTAATAGGAATTTAGCTGGTCATGGCAAAATATCCAATGCATTTTAATTTATCATTTCACTAGCCCTTCGGGTGGTTGGTATGTTTTTTGTTGCTTTGCTATTCCTAGGTTTTTAAGAATTTTAAGATCATGCAATCAGTTGAATTAGTAATAAGATCAGCTACAGTAACATTCATCTGGGTAAGGTAACAGTAAAGGAGGGAGGGTCTGGGTTAACCTGCTAGCTATTCAAAAATTAGGATTAAGATTCTGTAAAGGTCATGCACAGGAAGCTATAAATTTATTATAGGTTCATAAAGAAAAACAAGAAATCTTGGAGTAGATGGCTAACATTAGAACGTGTTGTTCGATTTTGTAAATTTTTTCCACATGATAGTAAGGGTATTTTCCGAGAACAGCACTAGCACCAGAAGGAGTTGTTCTATTTTGTTCCTTTCTTTTCCACAGATGTTCTTATCATTATAGTAAGTTTTTGTGTATAATTTGTGCTGTGCAGTGCTGTACATTATTGTACCAGAACAAAATCAGCCAAGAATACAGTGTTAAATCAGTGTTAAGGACGTAAAAAGTGATTACAATTATGAAGACTATACTGTACATTCAGTATGTAGGAAACACTGGAGCACCTTACCTTACCTTTCATCTTCATTCAAGAGACATCTTCAGGTCATAAGACCCACTAATCCCCACCCATACAATGGGTGACCTGATATTGCATCAGGTCAGGTTAGTAACATGACCCAACATCTCCCACCCAACCTCCATCACAAGTGTCAAGACTTGACGACAGTTAAGTATTACAGTCAGCGAAGTGAACAGTGTCTGCCGGTGAGTGCAGTATATACAGTATAGTAGTACATTATTTTGTTTACAGTATGAACAATATTGTATGTGTACAGTGGTGTTTGTGTAAATAAATACAGCTCCTGGAAATTGTCCTGTGAATCATGAAAATACCATTTGTTTTTGCTGTAACACACAGCTCCTTTCACACCCATATCGTATAGATCTTATGTTTTTTAATATACCTATATTTATTTAACCAAACATTTAGATAAAGTATTCAGGTTTATTTGGGTAAAAAAATGGTGTGTCTAACTAAATTAGAACTGATTTTATTGACTGTATCAACATTTCTTAAATTTTATATATAAAAGAATGGAATTCCCATCATTATATCATACCAAAATATTTTGTTTAAGGATATCTTATTGGAAACGTCTTGTAGAGAATTAAATCATTATGGTACTACTACACAGCTTCCAGTGAACTAAAATGTAATTCAAACTTCTTCTTTCCTTGAATCCTTCTTAACTCTGTAGTTGTTGTGTTCATTCTCTGTGATACTGTAGCTGGACTAAAAGATATTTAGGGAGAAGAAATCTCTCAACTAAAATCTTAAACGTATAACAGTATTGTATGTATGACATCTTTTGTATTTTTGCTTCAGTTCCTGGGCACTACAAGAAGAAATGGTTGGAGTTGTGCACGTTGTTCTTGGCCGCTCCATTGTCGAGGAGTTTACATTCTTCCAAGAACTTTTCACACAACTCTTTCATATTCTCACTGATAAAGCAAATCCCCAAAAAGGTAATGATTTAAAAGTGCTGTTTTCTTATTTCAGATCTTATCGAGCAAAACATTCAAACACTTTTTCATCACTTTGTCCATTAACCAACTGTTTTGCCTTATATGTACACAATTTTACTCTTCACTCAAATACATTAATATAATAGTCGCTCCTTGTATACATTAGCTTAACATTGCTGTGCCACTTCAGTATTCCGTCATTAACTCAGTCAGTCACTCGTTTCAGAATTCTGTCACTCTTCTTACTCATAACCTTGACTGCGCGCATGACAAAGTTTTGACAAGCTCTGACATCAAATTTACATTGTCAAACTTCCATCTTTTGAACTCCCTGATTTAATCTAGAATCTCCTCTTTTCTCTCCATCCCCCAGATATCTACACTTGTGGATAGTTTACAATTAGACTACATTCTCATCATTGCTAGAGTTCCTCAAGGCTCCTTTCTTATCCCTACTCTCTTCATATTCCATATGAATGATAGATCCATTCTCTTTAACAAAATGCATTGGTTTGATGATAACACTACCCTCCACAAAAGTTTATCATAATGTTATAATGCCCAGACTTACTCAAGTATCCCAAAAATTGTGACTGCATTGAACATAGAAGTTGAGTTCCTTTTTCATAACTCAGTGAGGCACAAATAACCACGAGGCAAACTTTATACATCTCTCAAACAAAACCATTTCCAGCCTCCCTTTTAATTTACTTACTTTTTCATTATACCGGCCACCATCTCAGGCAGCAGGTAGTAGGCAGCTACCAAATAGGGAGGTACTACTGCCATATGGCATCACAAAAATTTTGACCAAGTCCCAGGTTGCTGATCTGACTTTTTGTCTCATTTACACACAATTGCAGGGTATCAATTGTTTCTCTTACCATTGACAACACAACATACTGTACATATACAGGTACTCCTCTACTTAAGAACATTCAACTTACAAACTTTCAGAGATACAAACATCATCACTGAGGGGGGTTACCTGCCAGAACAGGTGTTTAATGTGGATGAGACTGGATTATTTTAAAGAAAATTCCAGATAGAACAAACCTTACCTAAGAGGAGAAGAGTGAGCCAGGTTTTAAGGCTGTATTAAGGGTATAGCTGTACTAAATATCCACAATCTTTTAATTTTTTACAATATGTTTGGTATCTACAAGAGTAAAGTTGGACTTATAAACCATTGGACTTACAAACAAGCCTCAGGAACGTAATTCGTTCGTAAGTAGAGGAGCACCTGTAATGTTTTTCATTATTGATCTTTTATAAAATTTTGTATGTTTCTTTATGGTTCTTTACTATTAATATTATTATTATTATTATTATTATTATTATTATTATTATTATTATTATTATTATTATTATTATTATTATTATTATTATTACTACTACTACTACTACTACTACTACTACTACTACTACAGGTATTACATTTTTGCCCCCCAGGCCCCGATGTGGGCCAGTGACCTGTACAAATGAGTACAGTAATGTTGCTCAAATTTATGTCTTTTTCAAAGGAAAAAGTCAGTATAACTAACCCCAATGGTGAGGATAATATGTACAGGTACTGTATTTTTGGTGTTTTTTAAATAATTATTTATCGTTTTTATACATTTCGTACATTTGCCGTAAGATTTGGACAATCGACTTTTCCGGACAGGTGGTCCCCCCATTTAGTTGGGATCTTCGAGGGTTCACTGTATTATTATTATTATTATTATTATTATTATTATTATTATTATTATTATAGTGATATCTCCGTTAGCCGGAACAATTGGTGCTGTGCACTTCCAGGAATGAGAGATTTCCAGGTAATGAGACGTCTCTCTCAAAGCCGAAAAAAATCTTGCATCCCCGGAATTTTCTGGGTAACGGAAAAATTTTCTCGGAAGTTCCAGAAATTGCCCATTACATAATCTCTCGAACCCAGAAAAATATCCCCCATCCCCGGAATTTTCTGGGTAACGGAAAAATTTTCTTGGGATTTCCAGAAAATGCTCCTGATTTTCATTTCTCAAACCCGGAAAAAAACTCCCCCACCCTTGGAATTTTCTGGGTATTGGGAAAATGTTCTCAGAATTTTCCGGAAAATGTGCCCCTTGGAAAATCGTTCCCAAAGCCGTAATTTTCCGGAAAATTACGGCTTTGGCAACGATTTTCCGAGAAAATTTCAATTCCGGCCATCGGAGAGTTCCGGGTTTGAGGGATTCCGGCTAACAGAAATATTACTGCATTATATTTTTGCCCCCAAGCCCTGATGTGGGTCACTGACCTGTGCCCTGGTGAGCAAATCCCATTAAAAAAAAGTTGCTATACTGTACTTCTTTTGAATTTCCCCCAGAGGAACTTTTTCATCCAACAAAGCAAGGATGTGAACCTTTTCCTTACCTGACATGTTCTTGGGACCAATGAACATTGTTCATTGTGGCCAAATGGAAGCTTTCACAAAGCTGGGATACCCAAGAGGACTACTGATACAACTATAGAAAAAAGCAGACTCATCATCAACAGAGGACTTAACACAACACAAGAAGGACATAACCCAAAGCACAGATACACAGTGATACCAGACTCCACCTATGTTACTACAGTGCCTTCAGCATTCCACCTTCAAGACAGCTATCACATTAGGAACCAAGATTGGAGACATACTTGTAATCAGAATAAGAAGAAGAGAGCAGACCAACACTGATAGTGTTGTATACAGTGTACCCTGTGGCTCCTGTGATGGGTCACACTATGGAGAGACAGGCAGAGGTTTACAGACGAGACTAAAATTACCGAGAGGACTTTAGACAACACAGAATGGCCAGTGCCATTGTCAATCACGTAGACACAACGGGACATCTGCCCAGATGGGATGTTGTCCAGGTCTTGCTCATGAATAAAAGAACCAGAAAAGCTTTGGAAGCAGCCTACATCACACTACAACCCAACATCAACGCCACACTACAACCCAACATCAACGCTAAAGCAGGCTGGGTGACCTGGTCGCTCACCGCAGCTCAGATAGCGGCACATAATTGGCAGAGAAGAGAATCACCATTGACATCAACTGACCATTGGAGGGACGTGATATAGCTCTGCCCACTACTACAGACCTAACTTTTTTGTATAAATAACAGTACAGTAAAGCCTCGAATAACGACGGTAATGTGTCCTCCAATATTGCAGTGTGAGGTGAATCATCTGATCGTGAATCATTAATTACCATTAAAATAAAACAATAATAATGAAATGCGTTTCCAAGTGTGACCTTTCCATATCTTTTGTGTGACTTTTTACCCTCTTTCTCCCCAAAACAGTACAATTAATGAAAATTGCAAACTATATTCTTTAAATAATGTTTCTGAATACACCTTATACAGTACAATATAAATGAATAATAATGTGGTCACACAAGAGGAGATGGGATGCCATTGTTTTCGTTAGTGTTTACAGCCGGGAGTCCGGGACGATAGTTCTTCACGAGAAAATGAAGAAAATAAAACCCTGGTTATAGCTGTAGTAAATTAATGTAAAAAAATTAATATATTTGTTTTAAGTAATATTATTTAATGTTTATAAATGGAACAATAGAAGTAGCTAACCACTAATGGTAAAAAAAGAAAGAAAAGTGAGATGGATTGGGAACGCCAACATATACAGTACGTGCGCATTTAAGGATATCGCGTCATTTCTCTTTTTAAGAATACAGTCGGCCCTTAACATACGCGGGGGTTAGGTAACAGAGATACCCGTGAATGTTAAAAATCTGTGTACTATTGCCGCCCCCCCCCCTCCCCCCCAGAAAACCCCTGGCCCCCCATGTCCTTATTTACCGTATATACCTGTGTGTAGTTCGAGTTTTTAAGACCAAATTATTTGGCAAAAAATTGGGGGTCGACCTCTAAACGGGTAATAGTTTCGTTAGGTTGAAAAATATTTACCAGTAACTACCAGTAAACAATGGAAACAACGCACCAACGCACCACCAGCTGTGAGTGTCGGTAAAGTTGCCAGGGCAGATCTCTTGCGTCATCATAGCAAGCCCAAAGTAACCAAATGCGAATCCGTGTATGCTAAACCCACGTATGTGAAGGGTCGACTGTATGTACAAAAGATTCATTATTGTTTATTACTGAATATGTATTTGATTGAATTAATCTTTACATATGCAAAATGAACAATACAATTCATTAGTAATACATAGAATATTAAAACACACGAGGATAAGAGACGGCATTTTGTCAGTGTTTACGCCCATAATGTCAGTTATCCACCTGAAACTGAAGAAAATAAGACCTGGTTGTTGTTGTAGTAAAATTAATGTAAAAAATATGTCTGTTTTATTTATGTTATTGTTTATTTATTTATTTATTTATTTATTTTAAATTTTTTTTTTATGGGGATTAGCCCACCCGGGCACAGGTCACTGACCCACATCGGGGCCTGAGGGGCGAAAATTTAATAATAATAGTAATTCATAGTAAATAAAATGTATAATTAAAAGTAAAATAAAATAATAATAATAATAATAATAATAATAATAATGACACTAATAATGATAATTGTGTGTAAATGAGGCAGAAAGACAGATCAGCAACCTGGGACTTGGTCACAATATTCGTGATGCCATATGGCAGCAGGGTCTACCATTAGACAACACATTATGCTTTCAATATCTTCCCAGGCGGTAGTACCTCCCTGTTTGATAGCTGCCTGCTACATACTACCTTATTACTGAGTATGTATTTGATTGAATTAATGTTTATGTACCGGTATGTGAAATGAACTATGCAATTCATTAATAATACGTAGAATATTAAAACTAACACGAGGAGACAAGACGGCATTGTTTTAGTGAGTGACGATGGTTTTACATAAGAAACTGAAGAAAATGAGACCCTGGTTGTAGCTGTAGTGAACTTAATGTAAAAAAAATTGAATACCTGTATGTATGTTTTAAGTAATGTTATTTAATGTTAATAAATGGTACACTAGAAGTAGCTAACCACTAATGGTAAAGAAATAAAGCGAGACGATTGGGAACGCCAACATATGAACAGTAAGTGCGTACATGTGAAAACATATCGTCATTTCTCTACATATGAATATGAAAGCAACACTTATTTACTGTTCATATATGTTTTAAATAATACTTGCGAATGTAAAACAAAAATTCTAATCACCAAAAGTGGTAAAGTCTAAAACATAAGGACAGCCAATGATGATGTGCGAGTTTTTACTCAGATGATGAAGTCATCAGGTTCAACTCTGGCTGAAGCTGTAGCTTTCCATAAAGCTGTTGCTGAAACTGTTACTGAACCTGAAGTTGTTGTTGAAGCTGCTTAGGATGCTGAATTTGATGGTGTAGCTGAAGTTGATGGTTTAGGCCTTTGAATAATAAAGCTGTCGAAAGAACCTTGCACAGCTGCTTTCTTTTCGCATTATACATCTTTATGTAGAGGTCATTTGCATTTATTTAAATTTTAATGCTTTGTTCTGTTAATGGATCCACTTGAGAAAATATGGTCATTGCTTGCTCCATATAATATCCACAGACCTTTCACCTTTTTCATATCGTTTTAACACTTCTTGTTTCTCGGCTAAGATTATACACTTTCTATTAGCTTTTGAAACAACACTACCATCACTTGCTCTCTTGCTCATGTTGAATAGGGATGCAAAAATGCTGTAAGGAACCTGAGAAAGTTTTTCTCCTTTTCCTGTGTGCTAGGGGTGTTTTTTTTTTTTAATATCGATTTAGTTATTATACGAAAATGTAATATATTTGTTTTATTTTGTTGTAAATACGAAGAAAGTAATGGCGTAAATTGAATTGGGTCCTAAATTAACCAGGGTCTTAGATATGAATCTTCGTTAGTAGAACCGTCGTTATCGGAGGCTTTATTGTACTCCTAATTGTGAGTTCATTCTTTTGAAAAAGTCTTGTAATGAAGCATCAGGAATAAAGCCCCATCTCTTCATCGTATTTTGGGGACCCATGCTGACATCCATAAGAGGAATAAAAAACTAATTCAATATTGTGGGATGTATTTAGGCTGTTATTTTAACATATAAATGCCTCTGATTAAGTAACTGCAATGAATATTTTTGTGGACACTAACCTACAGGTTTTACCAATGTGTTTGTGGATAGTGCAACAGAGAAATCCAATCCAACATCTCCTTTCAGTCCTGGTCAAAGCACACCATAATCAATATCATGCCGCCCATGTTCTATGCAAGTTCCATTTAATTCGTTTATCTACACCATTGGTGTGACTAGCAAGTATTTTATCTGGCATATACATACTGTGATGTACATAATGGAAGTGCGGTGTTCCTCTTCCTCATTTCTCTAACGGAGTTTTCATTTTTACAAATGCCACTTAATTCATAATGTGCTACCTAAATTAGTACTGTAGTTCTTGTCGATTGTAATTGTTTTGGGTACTTTACAAATAGCATTGGCTCCACTACTAGCGTACCCACTCTAAAATGGATTTGCTACTGTACTATAAACATGTGTTAAAGCAAACTTCAAAAATAATGAATCTGGATAAACTAGACCCAACATACCTCATCTTTTGCTTTTTCATTAAACCATAACAAGGTGGGTTCTGTCATGTGGGTTTGGTGTTACTGGTTAATTATGGCCCAAGTCTGTATAGAGTTAAATTTTAATGTTATAGCTTTGAATGTTTCTCTTTGTGTAGTGGACAGTATAAGTGAAGAGTGTAAGAAGACCTCCTTGGCAGCAGTGTCTCTACTCATCCAAAACAGTGGAGATTCTGTCAGACAAAAGGTGTATGGAGACACCTTCAGGCCACAGCTTGGTCATGCTGTCTACATCACTCTCAAACTTGCACAAGAGGAAAAGAATCGCAGTTTGAAGTAAGTCATCCCACTTACAGTTCAGTATCTTATTGTTATAAAGCACTGTGTAAAGGTTTGTTAAGAATTAATGTAATATTTAAATTGTCTAAGTTGTGAATCTAATTTTCGTAAAGGTGTTCCTAACAAAATTTGACGCTCGTTGGCTTAGGAAGACAGAATGGAGCATAATGTGAATAATTTTCCTTTAAATCTATTTAGTTATTTTTTAGTCTTCTGGATGATGATCTTTGAAACCTAGATGATGCACAGTGTCACTAAATCACTCAGATATTAAATACTGATCATTTATGCCACACAATATGTTTTCTCACTGAAATTAGTTTTTCTCTGTTTTGCCAGAATACAAGCTATGGAAACTTTGTCAGCTCTGGGCCAGCAGAAGACATTTCACACACTCAGCAGCCAAGATCAGAACCTCCTAAGTTATACTTTTGCCAATTTCCTACCTGGCATTGTCTTGGCTTTAACTAAGGTTGCTACTGCTGATGAAAAGCAGGGTCACAAGGTTACTGCAGTAAGTATTAATAATATCAATAGAAATTAACTACAGTATTACAAAGCAGTGGAATGCAGAATAAACTACAGCTTTCATTCTTTTATGTAAATTCTTGAATCTGTTTACAGGGATTGAACTACTGTAGTACTTGTATCCTGTCATCCCATAGGGGTGCTGTGGAACTGGTAACTAAAGGTTGATGGAGCCTATGGCCTGATTAGGTTGCATTGTGCATATACAATGACATGGCAGCATAGGCTCACACAGGTCTCACCTTTGATCAGCTGGTATATTAGTGCTGTCTTTATGTATAGGAGCTGGTCTAATGTGAAGATTACAAAAATGTGATGCAAGCACCTTAAGTGTCTTCTGGATTAAGTTAAGTCAAAGAATTTATTTTATTTAAATCACTTCTTTATTTAATTTTTTTTTCATCATTTACTGGTACAGTATATGACATTATGATATTGTCTCCATCTAAGGCTTATTGATAGTTAAATGAAAGAAAATTTTGGTACAGGGTATATATTTTTAAGACAGAGGTATCCATGTAACTTGGGATAAAACTGATAAATTATAACACTTGATTACAGCCGACGGTATTGATATATCAGTTAATCAAAGACATGGGAGCTTGAAGAAAATCTAATCAAAATTGTCTGGAACCAAATTTGTATGAATAAATAATGAACTTGTGTGTAAGATGAACAAAGAATATGCCTTATAAACATTAATATTCCATGGAAGTGATTTATTGTGCATATAAAATTTTCTTTTCTTTTGTATCATTTGAATGAGAAACAAAATTTGAAAGATATTAAGAATTGTATGTATTGATTTTGGGATAATAGATTGGATGATAATTTTCTCTTACTCTCATAATTAAGCAGAATACAATACTTAGTACCATTCTCACTTTGTTTAACTAAAACAACTGTGTTTAATTTGAAAATTTTGTTGAAATGTTTATGTATAGTGACAAGTTTTGAAGCCTTTTCTTTTCCCCTGCTGATGATGCAACAGCTGTAAATAATTATCTACGAACATTCATTACATTGTTTGGTAAATCATGGGGAAAATGCTGCCACCAAGCAAAAAGTGAGAGATTGAACAACATCTTTACCAATATAAAGATCTTTAAACGCTGTATGTCTTCCGCAGAAAGACATTGATATGGGAAGAAAATCTGGCAGACACTCACACATATACTTTGCTGCAATGCCTCTTTGCTCAGGCTTCAGACATTAGCTAGAAAATGGGCAGGTGTCAATGCTACACTGATCCTCTTTTCAGAATTCTCCATATCCTTCCTATCTGTCAAATGATCTTTGATATCAGCAATTTTAACCAGATTTCTACAACACCACATATTAGGGCATTTTCTCTCTGGACATAATCCAATACCACAGCAATAGGCATAAGTTTCTCCAAATACAGTCTTCTGCAGCCCTTTTTGTTTATTTATATATTTTATTCGTAAGACACATTAGCACATTGAGATGACTTTTCTGCAAATTCTGTGGTTACTTAGATATAACAATGGCAGAGCGAGCAATTGTGTGAGAGGTGATTGATGTATTTTGAGGTGGTAGAAACTTAACACTTGTAGGGCACTTTTATTACTTATTATAGTTATTTTTACTTGAGTATTAGATGTTTTTAACACTGTTAATGCATCATATTCGGATACACACAGACTTAATATAAAACAGTGTATGATACAGATGACGTATATGTGAAACAAATAATGTATAGTATTGGTATAACGTATACTACCACAAAGAATATCTAGAAAAAACCCATAAATTCAAGTTATTGGTAAAATATAAATTTTAATCCAATTTTTATTTTTCACTATGATTTAGATGATTTAAATAATGTGATATAAATTATTTTATTTAAAACGTAAGAACCCTGTGCACAGTACTGTACATTGATGCTACAGACCATCAGTGTAGGCAAGTACTGTAGTAATCTTTTACTGCTGCTAATACAAACACAGCCACCAGCATCCATAACAGGTATAGAAGAACACTTAGGGTTAGCTAGTGTAATTTTCAGAAAGTTGTTAGGAAACAAACAATGAATGTATCTATGTGCTACCTTGTGAACTTGTTGCTATTATATATGTGTGAGCTATTGTCTGTTGACCAGAGTGCCACTGTTTTGAGTGGCTGCTCCTGAAATACAGCACTGCTTTCAAATGGTGTATGAAGTATTACATGAAGGAGAAGAGTCCTGATTTTTCTGGAGTGTGGCAGTGTTTGTTTATTAGAATTTTGGATATATGAGGTCCTACTGTATATGTATCTCTGTAGGAGACAGAAATCATTTTGCTATAACACAATTTTGTATTCAGAGTAAGGTACAGGATTCAGAAACGGTGGTAAGATTCTTCACGAGAATTTTGAAAAGAAAATGTGGAACCAATTATACAGATTTAGTAAAAGCATCCCAAGACTGACCTGCAGAAGTGAATTATGGAGTTGAGGCACTTAAGGGATGCGTTGGTTGGTATTACAGGTTGACAACCCTTTATCCGAAATTCCGAAAACCGAAAAGCTCTAAAAACCGAAAGTTTTTTGTGGGGCTTTTTTTTTAAACAAGGATTAGCCCACCCGGGCATAAATCACTGACTCACATCGGGGCCTGGTGGGCGAAAATGTAAAAGTAATAATAATTATAATAATAATAATTCAGAGTACATAAAATTTTTTATTAAAATACTGTACTATACACCAAAATAAAGTAATATCTGTAATGATAACAATAATAATAATAGTAATAATAATATACAATAATAAAATTAATAATAATAATAACAATAATACTGTAATAAAATAATAATAATAATAATAAAGAAATACAAGAATGAAAAAAAGATCAAAAGTGAGAAATGCGACCTAGACCTATGAATTATTATTACGTACAGAATTATTATTATTATAATAATAATATTTTTGCCCTGTCCCCCCCCAGGCCCCGATGTGGGTCAGTGATCTATGCCCGGGTGGGCTTACATATATATATATATATAAAAAAAAAAACCCTAACCATTCTGAAAACCGAAAAATTCCGAAATCCGAAATGCCTCTGGCCCCAAGGATTTCGGATAAGGGATTGTCAACCTGTAGCAAGTATCCAGGCATTATGCAAATTTAGATGTGTACTCGTATAGGAAATGTAGGGTGGCTAAGAAAGCCCAGATATTGATCTGGAGTCAGAGATGTGGGTTGGACATGTTTAAAGGATAATGGATGATAGGAGTTCAGAGAGAGTGTGCTGGAGTGAGGTACAATGAGCGAGAATGATGGGAAGATAACCAATATTCTTGAAGTGGAAAGTGGACAAGTAGAGAAGGGAAATATATTATTAGGGAGTGAGAAATGGAATAATATAGATACAGTACTATGTTTAGATAGGATATTGTTTGTGTCATGGATAACCTCTTATCTAGAGATCTTTGAAGGAATGAAGCACGAGATATATAAACAAGTTGAATGAAAATTATACCATGTAAAATGTTTTGTTTGTAACTCCTTTTCTGTACATTTCTTTTTATGTAATACGACAGGTTGCTATTGATGCCTGGAGCTACTTTGTCATGTTGGTGATGAGAGACAAGTTTTTGGAGGAGCACACACCAAGGTTGGGGGAAAGTGAGGCTGTCAGCCAGCTTCGAAAACAACTGTTTGGTCAAGATCAGGAAAAAGGAAAGAAAAGAGAACTGCCGTCAAAAGACAACAAGTTTGTGCTCCCAGAACCAGAGGAAGAGGTGTAGTAATTTGTCCTGTAGTGATATTTAGTCTTTATGCTATGTTCAGTGTAGACCTTGCATTTTCTGAACTTTGGGGATATTTGATGTTACCATTAGAATCAGTTTAGAATGGTAATAAATTACTTTTTGTGGGGCCAGTATTGAAAGGAGAACCTAATGTATAGATTTGCCCTGTTTGGGTTGGAAGTTGCTTGCTATATTCTAATTTAAACTGACATCAATGTGCTACCAGTAAAATAACTTCACAACACAGGTTGCAGCATATCAGATTAAAAACAAATTAGTACAAGAGTATTGAACTATGAACTGTAGTATGCTCTCACACAAGGAATTGTCATCTGCAACATAAAAACAAAGTGTGAGAGTTGACCAAGTGACTCCATTCTCTGTATGACAGATGGGTGGTGCAGTACTGGGGGGGGGGGGAGGTTGATTTGCCCAGTGACACGTTGGATAACTTTCCTTAAATATTAAGTCCAGTGCAATTAGCTCATTTTGAACAAGAACCTAGACATTTAGAATAATAAACTGAAACTTTGAGGATATGTAGAGGAGACCTTCCTGACATACAGTGAAACCTTGCTTTACGTGGTCAATTGAACCTACGGAGGCCCGCGTAAAGCGGGAAACGTGTAAAGTGAACAACAGAACATATGGGATTAATTGAAATAGAGACCGGGCCGACCCCCAAACTCCACTTTTTCAGACACAATACCTATGTTGTAGTAAAAATAACTTCTTAATTTTATGATGGTGTGCACACACAATTAATAATTAATAGAAATATCAATAATATTAGGTTTTTTAACACTTACATTAGTAGAAAAGATGGCTGGGCACACGGGGATGGGGGGTTGGTTCTGAGGCAGAGGGCAGATTATTGGCCCTCACCTGTATCACTTGTATCAATTGTATCACTATCCACCACAGAGGCTTGCAGGGCCTCTTTGTCAAACCCCTCAAAGTCCATATAAGTCCATATCCTCACTATCACTGACTTGGGCCGGCTGTGGTGGGTGGCGGGTGAAGAACTCGGTAATGTTTTGATGGCTGGGCGACCTTGTGCGCACCCTGCCCGCACCGCTCACCGCGTAAAAGAGTACATGCACCGCGTAAAGTGAGCATTCCGGGTCTGGCAGGGTACCCCGTAAATGTGGAAACGCGTAAAAAACAAACGCGTAAAGCTGGGTAATACTGTATCTTACTCAAAGCTGGGAGGGCTGATCAATGTAAGTGTTATTTAAGATGTATTTCCTATTGTTTTCCATCATTTACTTTTTTTATTAATGAGTAAGGTAAAAAGTATTTATTGTGACAGTTATATGATTTTCCCGTAACCTGTACCATTTACATGCATTCTTATGGGAAAATTATGTTTTATTTATGCGTTTTGAATTATGCGGTGATTTTCAAGAACGTAACCCCCGCATAAAATGAGAAGTGGATGTACAGGTAAAGGAAATTATTGTCTAGAATGAATGGCTCCTTGCCATGGCTGCAAAACTGCTGGCAATTTTAAAACTATACACAGACATTCTTGGGTACATCCAGGGTGTCATCCGCGAATAATAGAGGACCGAGAAATAAAAATCCGCAAACTTGGGGGCCCCCTGTATGGTAAAAACTTCCTGGGTAGGTGTTTCCCCAGAACCCCCAGCTTAAAAATTTTTTAAATTTATATTTTTTTTTCAGGACTCAATCACATCCTTGGATCCAAGCAGCTGGACCACCCAGCCCCATATGCCTGGCATGTGGGGATGGGTTGGAGGATGATACAATGTCTTGGAATGCCCTGAAAATTTATTCCCAGACTCAGATATAAAAATGTGTTGAGATTTTACAGAATTTTTCTTGGAATTTTCAGAAAATGCACCTGATTTTCAATCTTGGAATTTGTTCTTAAATCCGGAACTCAGAGAATTTTCCGGAAAAATTCTTAGCAAATTTCAATTCTGGCTATTTGAGAGTTCCGGGTTTGAGGGTTTCCGACTAATGGAGATATTAATCATAAAATCCAAGCACCATTTTACCATTTCTTTCACTTGCCTTTTTTTAGTATTATATAAGATAATTTGTAATGTTTACAGGTCTCATCCTCAAAATTACAAAATGTTGAGATTACAAGTGAGTGGATACACAAGACATCAGGCAAGTTGATGCTATTGGTACAGTCACTGGCAAAGCTTGTAATCCACACTCACTGGAGGGTACGACTTAGTCTTGTGCATTGGGCACAGCAACTAATTTGCAAGTGTTCTAGGTAAGTAGTGTATTGTCTGTCATATGAAAGACTTCACTGTAATATGGGTGAGTGCTTTATACAAAATGATTTATGTAAATTTTCTAGCACACCTAAGTACAGTACAGGTATTCACATTCAGAGAGTTTACTCTGGCTACGGCCTCCCTTTCCTCCCTTACCTAACCCTACCTTATAATATCACCCCTCACTGCCTCCCATCACAGCCTGATCCACCTCTCTTCCCAATCACATCCACCCAAAATCCACTCTTATACAGTCTGATATCCTCCCCCTATTACAACCTCTATATATCTGATCTACCTCAGATAGATGGGAATAGAAGTAAAGACAGATATACCTTTATTTTTTTACTTTTATACTCTTTGCCACTGATCAGTGCACTAGCTGCTTGGGAGATCAGTCAAGTCTCTATTACCCACTGTTGGCAGGTACTGGGCTTGCACTGGCTCTTGAATGTATCTGAATCTGCTCCAGTGCTGGTCAAGTCTGGTCTTGAAATAGCTCACAATTGGTGCCGTCACAACACACTGACAGGTTGTTCCAAGAGTTCACAATTCTCACTCCGAAAAAGTTCGCCCTTACCTTGAGCTGTGACCCCCTGTGGGGCGGGCATCCGCCAACTCCAGGTATGGACACTCGACTGAGTAGTGCCCTTTGAGATGTTTATACACCTCAATTAGATCCCCCCCCCCCTTGCCTGTCTGTAGTATAAGCTAGGCAGTTGCAGGTGCTCTAATCTCTCAGGGTAGCTGAGGTGCAGAAGTGCAGGTACCAGTCTGGTGGCCCTCCTTTGGTCATTTTCAATCAACTGACAGTCCCTAGCATATCTCGGGGACCAGACGGGGTGACAGTACTCCAGACATGGAAGCACCACACGCTTGAAGATCGTTAACGAGGGATGAACTGTCTAGATATCTGAACGACCTTCCCTTTAAGACCTAATAATTTAGTTACTTGATTCACATTCTTCTCACAGTGGCCCGAGAACTTCAGTTCATTGTCAACAAACACACCCAGGTCCTTTTCACGTTTGGTCTCTATTAGTGCGGTTTCTTCATCTCGTTGAGACATATGACACGCCTCCTTACATCCCAGGTGCATCCTCTTACACTTTGTGACATTGAATCTAGCAGCTATTCCTTTACCATCCTTGAAGCTCACAGTGATCTTTTTGCAGCTCTTCACAGACTGTTTGGTTCTTAATTTCCCTAAATAACTTGGCATCATCTGCAAACATTTGTGTGGAGGAGTGTATAACGTCAGGCACTGACAAGAAACTGTTCAACACCTCCGCCTTCTCCTGGTCAGAATCTGCATAATTACCATCTTCAAGTGTCAGGTCCAATACGTCTACTTGGGTTTTTAATTTCAACTTTGCGTAGCAGTAAAGTGCCTTTGGGTTTGACTTGACCTCGCTTGCAATCTGCCTCTGGAACTCTTTCTCAGGCCTTCTACACTGTGACTTTGCTTGGTTCCTGGATCTAGCATACATCCTCCTGTCCTGCTCATTGTTTTTCCAAACCCACATCTCGAATTTCTGAATTTTTTCTTAACTTTGTCGACCACCACATGGTTCATGTGTAACGGTCTCCTTGTATTCCTGTAGGCTCTGGGTTTGGTCTTGAGTATATATTTATCGATCAAATGGGCCAATTTCACTGGTTATGATGTTCAGCGTAGTGTCTGCGTTCTTACACCTTAGTGAGTCAGGCCAGCTACTACCCCTCCTCCCTCATTCCGTCATAATTACCTTGTAATATTTTAACCTTGGCCTGGTTTTCTTATGAACCAAGTAACAGTTAAATCTGAAGGACAGCGTTACGTGGTGACTGGTGCCAACGGGGGCTAGGTGTTCCTGCTTGGCCACCATACGTATCTTACTCGTTAATTATGATGAGGTCCAGTGGCTTGGGTGTTTGCTCCCCTCTGTAATGAGTTAGGTCGTTTAACATGTTGGAACAGAAACTTGTCTCAGAATTTCTACAAAATGAGTAGCGGGGTTATTTAAGTATTTTGCTGTGGTTTCATTTTTCCAATCGATGTCGCCATAGTTAAAGATCCCCTTGACAAAGAGGTGCGAAGGGTTGAGCACCATTGCCTTGTTTATTTTGGTTCTTAAGTTCCTTTGGTTTGATAAGTTACAGTTTGGGGATCTGTAGATTCACCCGACAATAAGTAAGTCTCTCCCCTTTAATTTAACTTTGCATCACTTTGATTCTTCAAAACCATCCTCCCGCAGCACCCTCACCTGGCTAACCATCCTCCCGCAGCACCCTCACCTGGCTGGCTCTAAGGTCTTGCTTATAATAAACAGACTTACCTCTCTTTGATGATTGATAACTAAAACTAAATCTTCCCTATTACAGGTCACTGGCAGAAGCTATAGTTATGGCAGTTGAAGTGATAGTGGGACTACGCAGTGATGATATGGTAGATGTGGGAACAGCAGCACAGGATGCTATGTTGACAGTTACTCAAGCTCTTGAATTTAAGGGAGAACACACCCAGACTAAACAAGTCTTGCTCGAGTTACTTGAAGAACGTGTTTATGCCCTTTCTACGCAGTTACCTACAATCTGTCGGCAACAAGGTTAATAATATTTTCATTTAACTTAATATCTAAAGATTAACTGTATAATGTGCACAACTAATCATATTTTATCATATTTCATGTAGTATATGATGTACTGGACAAACCTATCTCTAATAGAGCTTTGTCATGTGTGCACCAAACCTTGATAATTCGACAAACTAAGGGCTCTGGGTCACTCAAAAAATCTGAATTAACTGAGTCTGGAATATTTTGACATTATTCAACAATTTCCAAATTTTTGTGTTCAGTTATCCATTCATTTTCTGTTCAATTTGTTCCTCATTATTCCAATCATACTCAGTTAGCATGCCTTGGCTGCAACAAGTCCCTAATCCCCACCCTACCTCAACTCAGGAGACAGGTCATGTGACCTGATTCCTTTGTTCTATGTCTTTCTATCTTGCTTTGTTCTGTTAGGTGTCTGAAGAGGGTCTTAGTATACCAGCTTCAAGATTTCATAATTTATTTCTCCATTGTGGGTTTTTACATCATTTAAGTGTACCTGTGTAACCATTACATTTTTGGAATATTATCTACATATTATCAGCTCACCTTGCAATGTAAGTGATACATTAATTTATTTATGTATTATTTACTTTATCATTACTGTTTGTATATTTAAAATGTATTTATATTTGTACAGTAATTATAAATAGAATATTTTATGTCGCAGTCTAGGCAACTTTTCAGAACCGCTTGGTTATTTCAGATTCATTTTGAATTTATTTTTGAAAAGCATATGAATTAAGACAAAATCTGAATTATAACAATCAGAATTAACAAGGTACAGTGTACTGTACAGTGATATCCCTGTTAGCTGGAACAGTTGGTGCAGAGCTTTTTCGGGGACGAGAGATTTCCGGTAAACGAGACGAATCCCTCAAAGCAGGAAAAAATCCCGTACCCCCGAAAATTTTCCGGGTAATGAGAAAACTTTCTGAGAGTCTAAACTAAGCATCTCATGCTGACAGACACTATTGCACATCTTTGGAATGTTTCTGACTGCTTGGGAAAATTTTGAGTCTAAGAGGATCTAATCTACACATCTCATCTTGACTCTAAACTACGCAACTCTTCATCTCATCGCGCACGGACAAACACTCTCCCATTACATTTAGACTGCGGGCATGAGCGAAAATGTTTATGGCTAGCGAAAATGTGTATAGATTTTTATTCATATCATTAAATTTTTTAGAGAGTTGAATTTGATACTACAGGTTGTACCTCTCTAGTCCGGCATTCTGTGGTCCAGAAACTCCCGTGGTCCAGAACGATTTTAGTTTGTCCAATAGGTAGATAGGCAACTTTTTTTTTTTCTTTTTCTTTTTTTATCTGAATTATTATTATTATTATTACAGGAGTATTAAATTTTTGCCCATCAGGCTCCAATGTGGGTCAGTGACCTATGCCTGGGTGGGCTAATCCCCGTAAAAAAACAACAACAAAGCCGTGGGAAATTAAGGTTTGTTTACATCCGGCAGTTCGGCTGCTCTCTCTCTCTCTGCTTGTCTGTACAGAGTACAACATTTAACCCTTCAATATATATGAGCATTAAATAAGTGTTGCTTTCATATTCTTATGTAAAGTAATGACGATATGTTTTCACGTGTGCGCATGCTCACTTACATATGCGATCTCTCTTTTTCTTTACCATTATCGTTAGCTACTTCTATTGTTCCATTTATTAACATTAAATAACATTACTTAAAACAACCACATTAATTTTACTACAGCTACAACCAAGGTCTTATTTTCTTCAGTTTTATATGTAGAACCAGTCAGTCACTGGTTTTGTAATCAACGAAAACAATGCTGTGTCATTTCCTTGTGTGTTTTAATATTCTACATATTATTAATGAATTGTGTTGCTCATTTTGCACACATAAACATTAATTCAATAAAAAAGACATTCAGTAATAAACAATAATGAATCTTTTGTACATAAGAGAAATGACGCTGTTTACACGATTATGGACGTTGGCGGGCCGTTCAAACCCGTCGAAATTCAAGTTTCCGCCGTCAAAATTTTTATTAATTTTTTTTGTGTGTGTGTTCCAATAAAGTACGTTAAGAATTAAAATCTCACGAAATTTGAGAAGCTACTATACGACATTTAACCCTTCAATATGTCTTCAAAGAGACCATGATGCAGAGAAAGTGGTGCTAGTGCTTCCAAGTATAAGCACAAGTCAGTATCTATCCAGGAAAAGGGTGAATTTCCATGGTCCGGCACCGGTCAGGTCCTGAGGTTGCCGGACTAGAGAGGTACAACCTGTATAATGATCCAGAAAAAATTTTCTACTAGACTGTTTCAATGAAAGATCCTTAAAACAAATATTTTGACACAATATTATGATGGGTACTGAATTCTGTTATCAAAAAACATAAGGAATGTTGACATCGGAGTCTATAAAATCATTTCTAATTAAGTTAGAAACCTTTTTTTACCATAATAATCCTGAATAGTTTATCTAAATGTTTGGTTAAATAAATATACCTGTATTTAAAAAAAGATCTATATGATATGGGCACAGGCAAAAATGGAGCTGTGTGTCACAGCCAAGACAGTGAAATTTTCCACTCTGCACCTGATAAAATTTCCAAAGTCTAAACGAAGCATCTCTTACGGAGCTGTATTTATTTATGCAGACACCACTGTACATGTGTTATATATTGTAAATAAACAAAATAACATATACGTACAGTCCTACTACTGTTCTGTATATACTGTACTGTACTCACCAGCAGATGCTGTTGTCTTGAGCCTAGAGTAGGCAGACACTGTCCACTCTGCTGAATGTAATACACCTGACCCTCGCTTTATGCTATGGTTGCATTCTGCAACAACACAGCATAATGAGAATCCACATATTAGTGAATACTTAATCTTATGGGGAAAATTAGGATATGTTCCACAACTACTAAAAGTCAACAGTAATGCTGTAAAAGTTGTGAAGAAATCATTGCAGTACTCTAATGTGGGTTAGAAATGAAGATAATATAATACTGTATAAAATTATAAAATATAATATAAAAATGTAAACTAAGATAATGAAGAGCCTGGGTGTTTGTGTGGAGTGTTTGGAGTAGCTGACTCACCACTCCAGCTACGTCCTGTGACACACACACACACACACAGTCACATTTTACAACCATTTCCGGAGTATTAATGCTCTAAAAATTGAAGAAAAATCATTAAAATACTGTAATGAAGTTTGCCATATCTTCTACAGAATGCTCAATAGGGAATATTTTCCACTAAATGAATGTGGGTAGAAATAGGGTCCGCTGCATAAACGTGAATTCGCATATAGTAAATGCGCATAAAGCGAGGGTCCAGTGTTTTTTTTTTTTACGAGGAATTTCCCCACTTTTTATAACTTAACACTTGTGATGTAGGTGGGGTGGGGTTTAGTGGGTCTAATGTTACTGATCTGACCTGATGCATTGTCAGGTCACCCATTATATTTAAACTCTTATCTCAGTTGCAGTTGAGGTGGGGTGGGGGATTAGTGGTCTCAATACCTGAAGATGTCTTGAATAAAGACAAAAGGTTTGGTGTTCCAGTGTTTCTCACTTACTGAATGTACAGTACAGTATACATAACTGTAATCACTTATTACATCAACACTGCTTTAACACTGTATCCTCATACAATTAATGTACAGCACGGCACAACACAAATTGTACACAAAAACAGCAGCTAGTGAGGGAACAACCTATCTTCTACAATGTTAGCAGAATATGAATTAAGTGATCCCAGCAGCTAGGCCACCCACGTTGGAGTATGATGAAATCTCTCGAAATTCCCGGAAAATATATTCCCAGGCCCAGAATGGAGAGGTTTGGAGAGATTTTCTCAGTACCTTCTCTGAATTTTTTCTGGAAAATGCGCCTGATTTTCAACCTTGGAAACTCGTTTACAGACCCAGATAGAGAGTTTTCCTGCCCGATTTCCATTCTGTCTATTGGAGGGTTCCAGGGATCGGAGATTCCGGGTAAGGGGGAGATTACGATAATAATTGTCTGTTTCTCGTAACTTTTCTTCTTGCCTTGGTACAATATTTACATCCCCTCTACCTACTTGTGATAACTCAACAGGAGCTTCACTTTTGGCATTTTTTTAGTGTTAAATTGTATTGTATATGGCCTTAGTTGGTAGCAGAAAGAAATTACTTTTTATGTGAAGTTGTTGGAAAAACCTAAATAAATTTTAAGCAAATGTTTCAGGCTCTTGTTGGGTATCCATCCCTGTAATTGTGGATCACCATTAGCTACTTACTAACATTTGAGCTATGCAGTGTTGTACTGGCTTAACTGGATTATAAGTGCCTGAGATATCCTTGTTTATACAACTACTGTACAGTAATATCTCTGTTAGCTGAATCCCTCTTAACCGAAACTCTCTGATAGCCAGAATTTCAATTTTCTTGGGAAATCATTCCCAAATCCAGAATTTTCCAGAACTTTTTGCCGTTACTCGGAATATTCTGGGGATGAAGAATTTGGCTAACGGAGCTATCACTGAATACTGTATAGTGTTGCATTTCAAACTTCATTTATGGGAGTATGGATTAACAACTAGGTATGTTATTGTTATTGTAATTATATTTCAGATGATTCTAAGACTCTAACAACTGTGCGGAAACTTCTGGGGTCTTTAGAAGTATTAGGAGAGAGATTAGCACAGATAATGGCATGGCCTGGTCACTCTCACCGCCTACTGCAGTCTTTCTCCTTTGCCCTGACCTTGGATGTAACAGACTCTGACCTCTTGTTAGAGAGGACACTTGCTCAAGGTCAGTAATATGACTTTGAGGACTTGATATTATATCTAATCAGTTTTTGGAATGTTTGATCTTATTAAGATTTAAAGTGATTCCATTGTTGAGTGATAGGCTGTTTTGTTAGCAATCAAAGGTTCAGTTCCAGCTGGAGTGGAGAACTGTGCCTTGCTCTTGCACACCTAGTCCTTACACATTCACCATTAAGTAAATACATTATTGGAAGTCTTTGCCAATGGAGGAACAACCCTTTGATGAACTAGCATCCTGTTATAGGAGTAGGGTAGCCCACTAATTGTTGAATGCTAAAAATCAGGTGATGAGCTTTTACCCAGTCACCTTCCATCATAGGAGGGAAGCACTTATATGTATAAGATAAAAAAGTATATGAATATTATACAAGAATTGGAGTTTGATCACAAATTATTGCTTTGTGTAGAAAGGTTAAATATGGTAAAATTTAGATTTAATTAGAAGTTGTCCAGTTTGCCACTGTTGTTCGTATTGCACAGGTTGGACCCCGTTAATCTGGGACCCGAAAGTCCTGCAGCTTCGATGGTTCAGGACGCATATACTGTAGTGAATACTTAATCTTATGGGGAAAATTAGGATATATTCCACAAATACTAAAAGTCAACAGTAATGCTATAAAAATTGTGGAAAAATCATTACAATTATCACAACCTGTACTCAAATTTACTATGTTATCACAACCTGTACTCAAATCTACTAAGTTATCACAACCTGTACTCAAATCTACTATGTTTTCACAACCTGTACTCAAATCTACTAAGTTAATTACAAAATTGTTTATGCCTAGTGCAAACTATGTGATGTTCATTTTCAAATTAATAAATTTCTTGCAAGAATTCCAGAAATGCAAGTTATATTCTGCTAAATCAGTGACATTTTATAAGCGAAAAACTTAAACTCCCTCTATTGTATAATCCTGAGTCCCTGACCCTTCGCCATCCACTGATAACTACGCACTTGGTAATCTTCCCCCCCCCTTGGCTGTCAACACCTCACCTCCTGCTCCCCCTCCTCCCAGCCAGAAGGCGATAAAGGTTTTAGAGAGTGAAGGTGCTTTTAGGCTTGAAGTTTTTCTCTTATAAAATGTCACTGACTTGACTTAGCAGAATATAACTTGCATTGCTGGAATCCTTGCATGATAATGATTAATTTGAGTACAGGGGGCCCCCCAAGTTCGCTGGTTTTTATTTTGCGGTCCTCTATTATTCGCGGATGACACCCTGAATGTACCCAAGAAAGTCTGTGGGTAGTTTTAAAGTTGCTGGCATTTTTGTAGCTGGGACAGGGAGCCATTCGTTCTAGGGACATTAATTTCCTTTACCTGTATTGTAAATGTGTGTGTGTGTGTGTAGACACACACTTTATTAATAAAGCACAGCCGTGAGGGTAGACTGTCAAATTTATGATAAATTTGTTTCTGGTTAGTATTTGTGAAGGTATTTTCCCATTATTATTTATTTGTATGTGTTTTGTGTGTGTGTGTGTCTACACACACACACAAATATGCAATACAAGTAAAAGAAATAATTGTCCTAAGGGCAAACACATAAAGGGAATATACACTTCTTTGTACACTAGTAAAAATGACCCCCCTACCCCCCCGGTCCGCAAATGTTATTCGCGGATTTGGCGATTCGCGGCCATTTTGAGAACCTAACCCCCGCAAATTTAGGGGGCTCTGGATAAACATCTCATAGTTTGCACAAGAGATAAAAATTTAACTCCTTTAGCTTAGTACATTTAAGTACAAAGTGAGTACAGTAAACCCTCAATAACTCGGCTCATACGGGGCTCTGGCCTTGCCGAGTTATCCCCAATTCCGACTTATCGAGGCACTTTCCCCCTCCTACAAAAATACAACAATAAAAAATTATCGATCCATACATGTGTACATCCACTAAAAAAGTATTCGGCACCCGTGTCATATTGTATCACGCCGAAAGGGTGCCGAATAATTTTTTAGTGGATGTACATGTAATTACAAAATGTAAAGAAGTAACACTTACCAGCACTGGAGGCAAAGAATGAAGCATCATAGTAGGTGACACAGAGGCATGGTAGGTAATGCAGGTGGCCAGATATGCCGAGATTTTCCCAGATAATTTTGCAGTAGTATATATCTCGGCATTTCTCGAGTTATACTATAAAACATTACGAGACAATATCCATGCTGACTTATATGAAATTCTGTGTTATCAAATGCTGAGTTATCGAAGGTTTACTGTACAGTAATATGTTACTAAAAATTATGCCTTTTTAACAGGGAAAAGTCTGTATAACTAACCCCAGTTGTCAGGATATTATGGCATTAAATGTTACAGAGTATTTCAAATACATTCTTTGTTTGGTTTCTTACATATATGTGAATTCCCATATAGGGAATGGCAAAAATTGAGGGTCCAGTGTACAGTAAACTTGTCCCATGGCACTAACACTTTGTCATCAAGAGGTCCAGTAAGCCTGGGCTAGATGTATGCTGATGTAAGTTGTATTGGTACCAGTAATAGTACATTTTATGCATTATTTTGCCCTTTTTTTAACCTCGTCTTCAATGCTTTGGAATTTTTGCTAATCCGTAACCAGTCTGGTCCCAAAGTTCCTGGATTAGCAAGGTCCAACCTGTATAGTAATGAGTGTATACAGTAAACTATACAACATACTGTATTTGGAATATTCATAGTTTTGTATTTGCATTTTTCAGATCCTTTTGAAGTGTTAACCATCAAACCATCATTGGGGAAGGGTTTTAGATATTTCCAAGATTTGCGAATATTAGAGGCTATAGGAACCGCCTGTCATCTGATTGGTTTTCACAGCAACATGGTAGCTGTGATAGACCTGTGCTTAGATATTCTGCAACAATCTACTCATCACCAAAAGGAAGCTCTTCTTTTGCTCACCCTCATTATTCAAGGTTGGTTTTATTGAATTACTACAGTACTGTTACAGGTTTAGAATGTTAAGAATTACTGTATATACAGGTTGTACCTTTCTAGTCCGGCAACCTCGGGACCTGACCGGTGCCGGACCATGGAAATTCACCCTTTTCCTGGATAGATAGTGACTTGTGCTTATGCCTGGAAGCACTAGCACCACTTTCTCTGCTTCATGGTCTCTTTGAAGACATATTGAAGGGTTAAATGTCGTATAGTAGCTTCTCAAATTTCGCGAGTTTTTAATTCTTAACGTGGAGACGTTCTGCATACAGTGGTCTGACATGTCTTGGGAAGGTTGTTAGGTGTAACTGGCTCAGTACTGCAGGAACCAAATTTTACCAGGTCTTGGGTTTGAGGTAAATGGTCAATGGTCATAGAATAAAATGTTATATTTTCTCCATATTTTGGACCTTAACATGTTGATGCAGTTTTGTTGTGCAGGATTAAACAAAACAATGTTAAATATGGTAGTTTGGATTTTTTTTACTCTTTACCAATAGTATTGTACACCTGAAGAGAAGGGGTACATGTGTTACACAAAAATGGCTCTTGTTGCTCTTGATTACTGCTAGTCTATGATATGACTGGAAAAATGCTTACAAGAAAAAATAAGATGGACTCTTGAATTGATATTTGGTTTATTATCATAAGTGACTCAAGCAAGAATTGAAAATGATTGTAAAGGGTGGTGGTGATGATAATCTGTATATTGTCACTTTAACTGGGATTGGGGTAGTTACGTAGACAGGGTATATACATGGAGTTATGATTTTTTAGTTTATATAGTGAAATGATAATTATCATTGAATAGTCTGGTATTATTAAAGCAGATGTAAATATGACTATTCTTAGGTGTTTATATGAATACTAATGATATTTATTAAATTTTAGGAAGAGATGAAAGAAAATACAGAGAGAAGGACAGAAACAGCATCCCACAAGAGGAGGGTGAACAGGTGGTGCAGAGTGTGTTGGAGGTGATCATGTGTCAGGATATTTTCAATGCACCACTTTATGTTCTCACTCAATCTAATGGAAACACTGGCGATGCTAAAGACATAATCACCTCTTTAGTTCCTGTGAATAAACAGAAAAACGTCTCTATTGAACTAATTAAAAGTAATATAGTTCTTGTTGCCAATACTCTGAATTTAATAAGTGTATGTGCTCGAATGATGGGCACTAATTTTGTAATGTTTCTCAGCAAAGTTCTGTGTTCTGTAATGGAAAAAGCAGGTGAAGCTAATGTGCTGGTTGGTCACACTGCTGCTAACACATTAAAGGAAATTGCTCTGTCATGTAAATATAAAAATGTTGCTGAACTAATTGAAAAGAGTGTCCCCCAGTTTTGGTACCCACTCTCTATGCGGCTGAAAAGATTACCCCAGTATCCTTCTGCACCATTAGTTCTTCAAGTTTCTCTTGAGTATGCCAACATTGATGTCATGGCTTTTACAGAAGAGTTAGTGGAGGATGTGCTGTCCTGTCTTGATACTTATCATAATAACGAGGCTTTACCTTTATTAAGAGTACTCTTAGTGTATGTCACTGCTGTTGTTAGGTATGCATCTAAAACTGAAGTTGTTGAGAAGGATTTTGAATCAGTTAATGAAATGAATGAATACTTAGACAACAGAGATAGGACAGGAAAATCTGAAGCTAAACAAAAGGGCATTGTTGATAATGTTGCAGCATGTGATAATTATGGTCCAGTGGCATTGTTTTTAGACAACTACCATAAAGACCAAGTGAAAGTTAAGCAAGGTATTGAAGGAAGTGATTCTTTTGATGTAAATGAACATGAAGATGACAGTGGTGCAGAAAATTTTAAGAAACAAGTGAATCAGCAGGAATATGAGGATGGAATGAGTGATAACATCCATGAAGAAAATGATGAGAAGAAGAAGGTACCAAAATACATTGAGCTTGTTGTTAATATTATGGAAAGATGTTCTCATATGCTATATTTGCAAGATAGAAAAATTAAGATTCTAATAATGGAAGTAGTTAAGGCAGGATGTACAGCTCTAACTCAGTGGGAGGATCAGAGGTTACCAGTGTGTCACAAGTTATGGAAACCATTGGTATTAAGGTTAAAGGACTCTGATTTTGTGGTAATGATTTGTGCCCTTGAGGTACTGTCAGTAATGGTTGTCAGCAGTGGGGGATTTCTTCGACGGCGCACAATGAAGGAAGTATTCCCACCTCTCTTGTCCTTTTTGAGAAGTCAAAGTCATACAAGCTTAGGAAAAACTAAGGGGAGTGGGTATTATATGACAGCTGCTTATCGTGCCCAAAAGATATTATTGAGGACACTGCCGTCCTTAATCAGATCATTAATGTTGACTGTAGATGAAATGTCAGACCTTGTTAATGTGCTGATGCTTTATTTGGACTCCCGACAACCTACTGAACTCTGTAGAGCTGGAATTACCCTGGTGAAACAAGTGGCACAGAGTCACCCACATCATGTATGGTTGGCATTAGCTCATCAGCAGTCACCTGTAAGAATAATTCCACCTGCAGCTAATTTAGCAACACTCAAGGTAAGTTTACTGTAACCTTCTTACCCACAATTACTAATAATTATTTTTCTTTTCAGTTGACTGGCCCTTGTATCATTTAGGCCCTAATAATGGGGCAGAAATATTATGAATATAAAGAAAGACATTTTACATTTACTATATTACTACAGGTTGTACCTCTCTAGTCCGGCATTTTGTGGTCCGGAAACTCCCGTGGTCCGGAACGGTTTTAGTTTGTCCAATAGGTAGAAAGGCAGCTTCTTTTTTTTTTTACTTATCTGAATTATTATTATTATTACAGGAGTATTAAATTTTTGCCCCTCAGGCCCTAATGTGGGTCAGTGACCTATGCCCGGGTGGGCTAATCCCTGTAAAAAAAAAAAAAGCCGTGGGAAATTAAGGTTTGTTTACATCCGGCAGTTCTCTCTCTCTCTCTCTCTCTCTCTCTCTCTCTCTCTGCTTGTCTATACAGAGTACAACATTTAACCCTTCAATATATATGAGCAGTAAATAAGTGTTGCTTTCATATTTTTATGTAGAGTAATGACGATATGTTTTCACGTGCGCACTTACATACGCGCAGTCTCATTTTTTTTTACCATTAATGGTTAGCGACTTATCTTGTTTCATTTATTAACATTAAATAACATTACAGGTACTTCAAACAACCATATTAATTTTTTTACATTTATTTTATTACAGCTACAATCAGGGTCTTATTTTCTTCAGTTTTATAAGTAGAACCAATCAGTCACTGGTTTTGTAAGCTTTAACATAAACAATGCAGGCAGCCGTCTCGTCTCCTCTAATATTCCACGTATTATTAATAAATTGTATTGTTAATTTTGCACACACAAACATTAATTCAATAAAAACAATTTCAGAAACATTAATTAAAATATATATGAACAGTAAATAAGTATTGCTTTCATATTCTTATGTAAAGTAATGACGATATGTTTTCACGTGTGCGCACTTACATACGCGATCTCTCTTTTTTCTTTACCATTATCGTTAGCTACTTCTATTATTCCATTTATTAACACTAAATAACATTACTTAAAACAACCATATTAATTTTACTACAGCTACAACCAAGGTCTTATTTTCTTCAGTTTTATATGTAGAACCAGTCAGTCACTGGTTTTGTAATCAACAAAAACAATGCTGTGTCATTTCCTCTTGTGTTTTAATATTCTACGTATTATTAAAGAATTGTATTGCTCATTTTGCACACATAAACATTAATTCAATAAAAAAGACATTCAGTAATAAACAATAATGAATCTTTTGTACATAAGAAAAATGACGCTGTTTACACGATTATGCACGTCGTCTGCACTTTGGCGGGCCATTCAAACCAGTCGGAATTCAAGTTTCCGCCGTCAAAATTTTAATTTTTTTTTTTTTGTTCCAATAAAAGTAAGAATATGAAGTATGTGTTACAAAAATATTAATATTTAGACAATAGATATTTTTTAAAAGATGATTTAAGGGAAGGGAGCTTAGTCTTTGTTCGGATGGGTAGTCTTAGTAGCTCTGGGTGTATTAATTTGTATTTCTGATTATTCTGGTACTGGAATTAATTATTGTCAATCAAGTGATTGACAGATTCATAAACAAATATGGCACAGCAGTGGGTGTTAATATCTTTGAATTTTGAAATTTTAAATTCAGCAAATTGTGCGTTAGTGTGATCAGTTTTTTCAATTAAGTTATTGTCCGCACAACTCTTCTGTGCAGTGACCAGGGGTTGTATTTTTGTGGAGCCAGAGGCCCCCCCCCATAGTGTTTCAATTGTTGGTAAACAAAATCATAATGGATTTCTTTCATTGCTGTAAGAGCGAGTGACTGACGAGTGTGATACATGATATCGTATTGTTTATTGACTTTACTGTGAATGGCTTGTATGTGGTTTCTCCAGTTAAGTTTATTATCAACAATAACCCCCAAGGAATTTTGTATTTTGTTTGCGTTTGAGGACTGTATTACCAAAGTACAGGGGGTCCAAATCTGGAGTTAAGCTTATCCTTCTGTGAATGATTGTGTAGTTTTTATTGAGGTTTATTATATATTACCCTGGTCCTGACTTTAGCCAATTCAGTGTTCATAGTTCTCATCAAGGAGTGGAGATCTGAGTGACTGGCTTAGAGACTACTATCATCTGCAAATAAGTTGTATTTTACAAGAACAGTACAGGACCGAGAATTGAGCCTTGAGGGATGCCATACGAAATTGGTGAGGACTCAAATTGATGATTATTATAGCAGACATACTGCTTCCTGTTAGACAGATATGAGGTAAACCAATTGTGGGTTAAGCCCCTAACACCATAATGTTCAAGCTTTGACAGGGGGATGGTATGGTCGACAGTATCAAAGGCTTTCAAGATGTTCAGGAATATTCTGGCTGTGAACTGACTGTCATCAAAGGAGTTTAAGATGTCCTTAGTAAAGGATAGCAGAGCACTCTCAGTTGACCTTCTAGCTCTAAATCCAAACTGAGAATCTGTGAGGATGTTATTGACACTGCAGAAGGAATTTAGTGGGTCATTGACCTGTGCCCCGGTGGGCTAATCCCATAAAAAAAAAGAATCTTATTTAAGGCTGGGAGGACTGATATGGGGTGGTAATTCTTGAAAAGACCTTTATCCCCAGATTTTTATATGCTGGACTTGATTGATCACTGCTTAGATACAAAATAATATTTCAAGATCAATCCTTCATTTTTTATTATTTTTTTTTCTTCACAGATAAATGGAGCTGGTAAAAGAGACCTTCCACAAGAAGTTTTGGAATTATACAAGCAGCTGTCTTAAGAGGTGATTAGGACTTCATTGTATAGTATTGCAATAATGTGCTCACTAATATGTATTATAATGCATACCCAGCTATTGATACCTAATGAGATTTTATGTTGATGAAATTAAAACTATTGAAATTTTTGTTAATGACATCATATGAAATTGTCTTTCTTTGTAAAATACCTCATAACACCTTCATATTACCCCAGAAAAGCATCACTGTCCACCTCTGGAGCAAGAAATATTGAGTAGGGTTTATTTCAGACTGTTATTATTTTTGAACTGGTCCGAGTTTCTTGAAAAGCATTCATTACCTTATACTTCCCTTTTACTTTTCTGATGGTTATATGGAGGTCTGTGTGAAAGTTTAATGACTAAATGCCTGAATGGATTAGTTCATGCCTTTTAATTTTCAAGTTACATAATTTTTTATGGTTGATTATTGCAATTCCCTCATTCTGCCAAAAATGACAAGATTAGCTTAAATGTCATTAACCTAACTGTAGGCTGTACAAGTGTAATTCTAAAAATTTCAAAATGAATTCTAGACTGTAACCCTTTCGCCTCAGGTGTCACTTTACGTACCACCGAGTTTTTTTTATGTTCACAGCGAGCGTCACTTATATGTGATCTGGCATTTAAATTGCCCTCGCCCATCTGGTGATGCAGAAAATGGTTTCTTGTATCTGATAATGAGTGTTGCCAACTGTGTGGGTTGCTTCTGTCTCCATATACTGTACCACACAGACACGTCAGTATGTTTCATGATGTCACAAAGAGCAGTACAAGATTTGGCCGCTGCGGCGGAGTTGTCTGGGTAAGATAATGACTTTCTTGATCTAATGAATAGTATTGATACTGATTCAGATGCTCTCTGACGATAGTGAAAGTGATTATGAGAGGGATCTTTTGAAAGAAACAAAAGGTAGGGAGCATAATATATCATGTTCAAGTGATACTGATGATTATGATCCCCAGCCTGGACCAAGTTCTAAAAGGAAATGGTGTGGTAAGCAAAGTTCCTCCTTGAGTAAAAAGAAAAAAAAAATCTAACAGTAGCTCAGAGCATTCACTGAGAGAGAGAGGTTGTTCAATCAGATAATCAGGGAGATGGTCAGTGGCACAAGGCGCTGTTCGGCAACCCTGTACACTGCCTACACCTACAGCATGTCCTACGCCTGCTCAAGGTCACGCTCGGTGGGTCTGGGATGAATCTCCTTTTACACCTTCTGTTTTTTCATTTGATGCAAGTAACTCTGGATTGACTGATGCATGTGACAGATGAGTCAAATGAGCTAGATTAATTACTCATGTATGTGGATGAGGAACTTACAGACACAATAGTGCGAGAATCTAACCGCTATTACCTTCAGATGAAAGAATCTAAGCCAGATTTTTTTGGAAGTGGGCATCAAGTTACTTGGAATTCAGTTACCAGAGATGACATCTACATGGTTTTGTGTTCACTGATGCTTATGAGTCATGTAGCAAAACACAGAATCAATGACTATTGGACAGTGGATGAGGTTTTTTAGACACCAATATTCTACATTTCACAGATAACCAAGTTGACAAAAATGATAGGTTATGCAAAGTAAGGCCAGTTCTTGATCACATGCATAGGAAGTATAGGGAAATGTTTACTCCATATCAAGACATTTGTATTGATGAGTTTATTCCTGTGGCGTGGTAGACTAGGCTTCCGGCAGTACATACCGTCAAAACGGCATAGGTATGGAATAAAATTGTTTGTATTATGTGATGTAAAAACTGACTATCTTGACGTCATTGTGTACACAGGTGCAACTACTGCCATTGAACGAGATGAAAACCTGGGTATTTCTGGTTCTGTGGTTAAAACACTCATGAAAGATTACATGCAGAAATCACATATACTATACAGCTCCTCCCTGACTTACAACGGGGTTAGGGACCCAAATCCAGGTCGTAAGTCGGAAATGCAAAAAATTATACATATAAAATCTAAAATGAAATACAGTACAGTAAAAGTAATCAATAATGAAGAATGGATACAGTGTGACTGTGCACCTACCTATAATGTAGTCAGCTGAATGCACACGGGGCCTCAATAATTTTTTTATTTACAGGTATACATGAAGACTATATTAATTGGATGAAGCAGAGGAGGAGACAGGGCTGGGTGGGTCATCAATGTCGCTTTCTTCAGACAGGTTTATGTACAGGGGAAGCTTGCTGGTTGAAGGTATTGGATCATCTTTAGGGAGTGAAGAGGCAGCACTGGTGGGGGTGTGAGGAGACAGCAATGGAGGACGTCTTAAAATAGATGTCCAATTTACACTGCACAGTTTGGTTTTTCTTTTCATTATAAATCTCCTTGTAGCAAGCAAGTGCATCTTGGACCATTCTGTCAACTTTGGCAAAACGCTCAACATTTTGATCCATTCCGTCAAACACTTGCATCCCCTTATTAATTGTAGCAAATGCCTCTGCCATTTGCTTCACTGAAAAATTTTTGGTGGGTGCAGGTTCTTCTTCTACATTTCGACTCTCTTCTTCCTCTGCATTTTTCTGTGCTTCCAGTTCGATACGATCCTTGTTACTCAGCTCTTCTGCTACACTTTCAACCAACTGTTCAACATCTTCATTATCAATTTCGAACTCAAGCTGTTTATCCAACTCCACTATCTTGCTACTAATCTCAGAAATTACTTCATCTTCATTAAATCCTCTGAAACTGTTCACATATCTTTTCAGGACTTTCTGCCATATTCCATTCATGCACTATTCAGTAACCTCATCCCATGCTGCAATAATGTTCTTTATACATGTCAAAATGTTGTAGTCCTTCCAAAACTTTCTGAGCATTTTCTCACCTTAAGTAGCAGCAATAGCCTGAGCGAAGGTCGTAAGTAAACAATTAGCTTTTAAAGCTGCAATAGCATCTTGATCCATGGGTTGGATGACAGAGGTAGTGTTAGGTGGAATGTACACTACCTTAACATCAGGGTGCAGGTCGTCCAGGTGTGGTGGGTGTCCCGGATCATTATCCAAAATTAACAAAATTTTAAATGTAATTCCTTGTTGCAGACAATACTCTTGGCTCGAGGAATGAAACAAGTCATGAACCAATTAATATATATATATATATATATATATATATACATATATACATATATATATATATATACATATATACATATATATATATATACATATATACATATATATATATATATATATATATATATATATATATATATATATATATATATATATATATATATATATATATATATTATATATATGATAACCACAAGGAAAGAAGAAAAACGAAGTTCCTTGTATTACTCTCTCTAGTCTGTACTCACCCCTGAAGATGTGATATATTGTGGTTATCAGATAATATATATATATATATATATATATATATATATATATATATATATATATATATATATATATATATATATATATATATATATATATATATATATATATATATATCCTAAAAATTTTATTGCTTAGCAATACTTTTAAGTATAAGAATTACAATATACAATATTCATTAATGACTAAATATCTATGTAGCTCATATTTTAGGAAAATCAAATACGTATAATCCTAATGACATATATTTTTTAATCAATACAGCAAATAATAAAAAATAGAATAAAACACTTCAGAGGACTGAACACAAGCTGCAATCATTCTCCCACTACCATTGGAGCAATTAGTGCAACTGGAAATTCCTCCATTCTATCTTCCTCTTCATCAGTGCCATAGAAGCCCCACATTCATTGTAAGGAAGACTCATTATTAGCATTTATCCTTTTTTATATCTTACTAGAGTATTTCTCTTCTCAATGCCTGTACAGACTAAAGCATCCTATTCATATGTTCTTACTTATTGATGCTCTCAAGAAGTAACTGATTGACTTACAGTATTATCAAAAAATAAGTAGAACTCTGCAGCCTGTGTATATGGAAGATGAGCAGTCAGTTTTCTTTAACTATGGAAAAATAAATTGCATTTGTAATACACCTGTAATACAACCCAGCACTTTACCATATGTTATTCAGTGCTGCTGAGAAAAGTAAAGAATAAGTCCTTTATCTTAAAGATGGATCTTTTCTGTGCCAGCAACATACTTCAGTCAACTTGGTGCTCCATCAGACTTTTTGAAATTCTACAATAACATTTTAATGAGCAATGATTTCCCCTACTTGTACCTTTCTATATATACTGTACAGTACAGTACTTGTGTTTCCATTCCACTACTATCATATCTAAGTCTGCATACTGGGATAAATCTCACTATTTTTAACACTTTTGATTTACAGTATACAAGGTACTAAAAAAATGGCTTCTCTTACATAATTACCGAACTGCTATTTTATATTTGTTTATATAGGGTTCAAGTAATGTTAGAGTGTTAACACTGAAAAGTATGCTGCAATTAGTGGCCATGACATTTGGGCAGACCATATGTGGATACTGCTCAAGGCCTTAATGGAACAAGGCATTGGAGATAGAGCTTAGCAGATGATGTGTATAGAAATTTAGTCATCACTATTACAAGGGGCAGGAATGGTATTTAAAGAAATATTTAAAAAGGGTTTGAGTAGTGCCACTTTGAATATTTAAGGAAACATACAAGGTGACAACAATGATCGCACAGTTCAGTGATCCCTCGGTTAACGAAATTTCGGTTAACGAATTACCTTCCATAAGATTCTTAACTTCAGTTAACGAGCATTCCCTCAATTAACGAATTCCTTACGAGCGCCCCTCAACATGTTTTCGCTTGCACATTAGCTGTCGTATTAATCCGCCAATACAGTAATCGGTTCTAGGGCTTAAATTCCTTACTATTTTAGTAAATATCAAGAAGTTTGTACTATTCAATAATTTTAAGTCTTATATTAAAATTTTTAGTCATTTTAACAATTATTTAACATAATTTAAGTACAGGGAAACTAGTTTTTAGCGTGCCAAACAGCCTGTCAACACACCATACAGGCGTCAGTCTCTGTGTCTTTTCAGTGGAGGTAACATCTTGCTTCAGACTCTCAACATAAACGCTTTTTTTCTGTGTTTCCTGTCAAATTATTGGTCATTTTGAAATATATTTTACATATTGATAATATATAGTGCAGTGTTGATTTAAAGAAAATAATCTTGAATTAAACCAAGTGAACTAAAATTTCATGGGTGAAATGGCAGCATGGGGTGACTTCTCTTCCACCCCAATGCCTTCTCTTCTCCCTTCTCCACCCCCATTCTAATTCACATCATCATCACCTCAAAGTAAGTGTACTTTACTGCATTTATTTTTCGTTTGTATGTAATTTTCGGTGAGCTGGAACCAATTACCCAAAAACCCATTGAAACAATGGTTTCGGTTAACGAGTTTTTCGGTTAACGAGCAACCTTCTGGAATGAATTGTGCTAGTTAACCGAGGGACCACTGTATTGCAATACAGTACAGCATACCTGATGTGGATAAGCAGCCTATAATCCGTACTGATTTCTAGATTTACAGAAATTTCTGTTTCATTAAATATTTGATATACTGTACTGTACTCCAACAGCATTCTGACACCCTGAAAATTGCTTTCTAACATACAGGTGCTTTATCTGCTTTCCAAATTTCTTATCCAAATTTAAGTGGGTCTAGTTCTAGGTTCTGTCCTTTATATTCAAATCATAAAAAAATATATTCATCAGCTTAGTTTTATAAAATTACTAAAGAGTGAAAAGAATTTTCCCAATTCAATATTTGCAAACATATCACAGAAGCATTATCTGGGGAGCTAACAAACATGTCCCATCACAGCATCACCCAGTCCCAATAATAATGATTTTATTAACCCTTTCGACGTGTATTTGGATTCTATCACTGGTACTCTGAAACTGCCATTTGGGCACTAAATATGCCCAATTTTGGCATTCATTTGGTCTATTTTTTATTTTTTTTAACACTTCACTAGAAGTCAAACACCAATTGTTTCATAAATTCTGATATAATGGTGCTCATAACACCTACACAGTAAAACGATGAAAATCTGAAGAGCTGCTACCATATGCGTCTCAGCTCCTGTTTCCGCCATAAGTTTGCAGCACATCCATTTTCCAGCAGTCGTTTCAAACTTTGGTGATATAGGTCAAATATTGCATAAGTGGAACAACAAATTTTTTATTTATTTATTTTTATTGCTGAGAGAAAAGTCGAACATCGCATTCAGTGATGTTAAAATTCATTTGACTTTTGTCAAACTTAACGTTAAAAGGGTTAAAAAACAGTGGGTAAATTTTTCCCTATCCTATGGTAATTCAAGAGATAACTAAGAACAGTGACTTCTAGGATGGAGGTTGTTTGTCTTTGGGTCTAATCAGACCGTCAGTGAATTAATCATGAAGTTACCATGTGCATTTTGGTGATCTTCCAGGGATTGCATTACAAAAACAATGTCATTATTATAATCTATGCCATTTAAAAGTCAATTAAATTATATGAAACAGTTTATTATAAGATCTTTATGCATTTCTCACTTCGGCTAATCTCGATAAAAATCAATTTAAAATGAATGTATGCAATGTAAAAAAATAGAATATGTTGGCATGGCACTTGAGGAAAAGTCACCGAAGGAAATGCCCTTGTTTATATTATATCATAAACAAACAATAATGAAATACTGTATAAAAAAGATAAATACCTGAAATGTGACCATTTTAGTATTTCTAATCTATAAATTTTTCAGTCGCCTTTCACTGAGAAGAAGAGTTGCTGGGAGCCAATGGTGAGGGACTCTGTTGGGAAAAAAAAAGATTAAAGTATAATCATATTTCTTTCTAATTCTATAGAAAACTAAAATCAAATACAATACAGTATGTCATTACTGAAAACCTTTTGTGAATTTATATTTTGTAAATTGGATCACATATACCCATAGACTCCCATCATAAAAACTGGGATATGTTATAAGGAAAAAATAAATCCAAAATCCAAAACATATTAAAATACTCTGTATTACAAAATATGTTTTCAATTAAAATTTGTGGGTGAACACAATGATTACAAGCCAATAATTTATATAATAGCGAGATGTATATAATGGAAGACACAGAAGTTACTAAGAAACGCACCACATGCTCACACAAACTCAGTCAAACATTGAACATTTGTTTTACTTCTTAATTAACAATACTGTAAAGAAAATATCATTGAATAAATACTTAAGACACAAAACAATAAATACAGCATATTTAATGTTAAACGTTCCATCAAAGTGAGTTAAATGGGTTTGTTGATGTTCGAGAAGCTTCTAGTGAGTCATGACATTTGTCAGAAATATACATGTATCCTCAATAATCATGGAGGTTAGGTTCCTGAAAACTTCCGTGATAAGCAAAACCGTACATATCGAAACATAACATATGGGAAAAAATAGTTTCGTCCCACAGCCCTAGAGATGCATCCCCTAACTGACCAAAATATACCCCACAAAATGTGTAGGTTCACTAAAAGATATACCCGGTAATACTAGTAACATATCTTTACTAATTAATGTACAGTACTGCACAATATTGTATCATGAATGGCTCATAGGAGAATGAATGAGAGAGGCAAAGTGTTACTGAGACACAATGGGTGGAGGGGAGGAGGAGGGTGGGAAGTGGGTGGGAGGTAGTGGATATCATGCTAATCTGCTCTGGCTAAAGCAAAGCCTTCACTGAAATTATGATTTAGGTGGTGATAATAGAGGTAGTGGTGGAAGGGAAAGATTGTGAGATGATGCGTCAATCGGTTTGTTTGGTAACACTGGCCGCAGCACTAGCAGACACAAATGAACAGTTGATGCCTCCCCACAAAATTGAGTGTAAGTATAAATGAACGTCATATTCCTTCTATATTACGTTACATTAATTTTAAATTATGGAGTGAGAAAGCAGAACGGTAGGGGTGATTAGAGAGGTGGAGTGGAAGGAAGTGGTAACACACAGTGGGTGTGTTATTTAATGTTAATAAATGGAACAATAGAAGTAGCAAACGATAATGGTAAAGAAAAAAGAGAGATCGCGTATGTAAGTGCGCATGCGCACACGTGAAAACATATCGTCATTACTTTACATAAGAATATGAAAGCAACACTTATTTACTGTTCATATATATTTTAATTAATGTTTCTGAATTTGTTTTTATTGAATTAATGTTTGTGTGCAAAATTAACAATACAATTTATTAATAATACGTGGAATATTAGAGGAGACGAGACAACTGCCGGCATTGTTTATGCTAAAGCTTACAAAACCAGTGACTAACTGGTTCTACATATAAAACTGAAGAAAATAAGACCGTGATTTTAGCTGTAGTAAAATTAATGTAAAAAAATTAATATGGTTGTTTGACGTACCTGTAATGTTATTTAATGTTAATAAATGGAACAATATAAGTAGCTAACCATTAATGGTAAAAAAAAAAGTGAGACTGCGCGTATGTAAGTGCGCATATGTGAAAACATCGTCATTACTCTACATAAGAATATGAAAGCAATTTACTGCTCATATATATTGAAGGGTTAAATGTTGTACTCTGTATAGACAAGCAGAGAGAGAGAGAGAGCAGCCGAACTGCCGGATGTAAACAAACCTTAATTTCCCGCGGCTTTTTTTTTTTTTTAAGGGGATTAGCCCACCCGGGCATAGGTCACTGACCCACATTGGGGCCTGAGGGGCAAAAATTTAATACTCCTTGCGACCTGAGGGACAAAAATTTAATACTCCTGTAATAATAATAATAATAATTCAGATAAAAAAAAAAAGCTGCCTATCTACCTACTGGACAAACTAAAATCGTTCCGGACCACAGGAGTTTCCGGCCCACAGAATGCCGGACTAGAGAGGTACAACCTGTACTTAAATATACAGTATATTGCAAGTTTAAATCAGTACTCACCTAGAGCTCTTGTGATTATTGCTGGTTTATCCTTCCAATATATACAAATTAAATACGCTGGGATGCCTGAAGCTGTGATGAGGATACCCATGCCAACCTCAAGAGGCCGAACATAAAGAGGAAGGAAAACCAGGAATCCACAAATCATCAGAAACACAATGGGCACAATGATGTTAACCTGCAAAAAAATAAATAGAGCTATTATTTAAATACTTTATAGTTGAAGACAGCAGCATGTTCTTTTATCATCAAAATTTTTCAAGAAACACTGAATCAACAGTTCAAGTTCACAAGAACTAGAGGATAGATTTGCTGAAACTTACATTCATTCAGAGAAAGCTTCAGCAAGCTAATACAAAAACATCTTTATTCAAAACACCTCTACTCTTGACACTTCCTTCACTCCTTTTTGTCATTACCTCCTTCCAAAAGTTTACCAACAACCCTTAACTTTTCATTCATCCTCATGCTGGAACGGATTGTGCTCGTTAACCGAGGGACCACTGTACTCTATTTTGTCATTCTATTTCTTCTTTTGTCTTAAATTAAGTGATTTTAGATGTATATAAGGACTTAGGTTATGATATAGTGGGATTTTAAACATTGTTTTTTTTAAGTATGGCATGCATATAGTATATGTTCCGACTTACGAATGTCCTCAGAAACGGTACCTGTTCGTAACCCGGGAACCCTCTGTACAGTACTTGGATATTATCATATACTGTACAAGTATTAGGACTGATTGTGAAACAATAATATACAAAGTGACTTCAATGTTTATTATAGATAAGAATAAAATGGTCTGTTTAAGAAATACAGTACAGTAATACCCCGGTTAACACGGTTTCGCTTAGCGAGATTTCACGTATACGCGGTGCCTCGCCGGAGCTGAACTTTCACTTAACGCGGGTTTTTTCCACATATACGCGCAGAGTGTCTGGCTCGAGAGCTATTTTTAGATTCGCCCCACCCGCCACCCGCCACCCTGCCTGACTGCCTGTTTTAGCTCATAAAATTCATACAAATTACCCGGCCAGAATATAATTTACATTGCTGGAATTCTTACAATATGATGATCATTTTGAATATAAACATCATAGATTTTGCATTAGACATACAAATTTTAGATATAATGTTTACTCTGAGTAAATATGTTATCTTTTGTGCAAAATATATGACATTTATATTCAAAATATTCCTGGTCTTACAAGGAATCCAGCAATGTCAATTGTATAATCCTAACTTTAGTTTGAGGTATTATTTATTAAAATTTAGTGGTTTTCCCCCCAAAATTTCTCAAGAGGGTAGAGCCAGCAGTGTAGTGTGAGAAGAGTGGGAGGGAGTTGAGTCCATTATTTGAATGGACATTAACTTGGCGACTGTATTTCTCTATTTCTCTTAAGTATTAATTGTGTGCATGTACCATCATAAAATTAAGATGTTATTTTTACTAGAACATAGGTATTGTGTCGGAAAAAGTGGAGTTTGGGGGTCGGGCCAGTTTCTATTGGAATTAATCTCATATGTTCTGTTGTTCACTTAGCGCGGTTTTCACTTAACATGGTACCCTGTGGGTTTTATTGACCGCGTTAAGCGGGGTACTACTGTATTAACAAAGTACAAATACTGAACAGGGGGGGGGGGGGCCAAAATTTGCAGATTTTTATTTCGCGGTCCTTTATTATTCGCAGATGACACCCTGGATGAACCCCAGGAATGCCTGTGGGTAGTTTTAAAGTTGCCAGCATTTTCGCGGCTGGGACAGGGAGCCATTCATTCTAGAGACTGTAATTTCCTTTACCTGCATTGTAAATGTGTGTGTGTGTGTGTAGACACACACACACAAAACACATGCAGAAAAATAATATTGAAAAATCCTCTCACAAATATCAAACAAATTTATTAAAAATGTGACAGTCTACCCCCAAGTCCGTGCTTTATTACTTTATTAATAAAGCACGGACTTGAGGGTAGACTATCACATTTTTAATAAATTTGTTTCTGATTATTTGTGAGAGGATTTTCCAATTATTATTTATTTGTATGTGTTTTGTGTGTGTCTACACACACACACACATATATATATACAATACAGGTAAAAGAAATAATTGCCCTAAGGGCAAACACAAAGTAAAAATGTACACCCCGTCCGTAAATGTTATTTGCGGATTTGGCGATTCGTGGCCATTTCGAGAACCTAATCCCCGCGAATTTGGGGAGCCCTGTATAGTAAATGGCTACAAACAGCCAATTAAATCAGCAACCCAGATACCAAAGTCCTCAGTCACCATACTAGATCATATACAGTGGGTCTCATTTTATTGTTATCGCTTATTTGATTGGTTGAAATGTAACCATAGTTGTAGCTTACATGTAAAGCCATGGGTAGTGCAGGTAGCAATATAGCATTAATTTAGTGATCTTTTACTTATTTAGGTTAATTCAACAAAGAAAATGCTCTGAGTCACTTGAATTACCAAAAAATCCAGTGGCTGAGAGATGGCTTATAAATATAATATTGTTAGGGAAAGCAAGAATGATCAGCTGACACTGCTGTGTACTGTAAACAAGAGACCACAATAGCTCATCTAGGATTGAATGTTGGATTTCTTCCGGAAAAATTAATTAATTTTCGATAATGTTTTATTTACCCAGCACCAAATGAACCTAAATAATATTGGAATTATATTCAAATTGCGTGCTGTCATTATAAAAGGATTGCGGGGTGATGAGCACGGGAGGTGGTGAGTTGTCCTCTCCCTTCCTCCCTCCTCTTCCACCACCCCTCGCCTATGCACCCAAATGCTAGTTTTGTACAGTATCTTAATATAATTCATATTTTATTCCTATCTTTCATTCATCTTAATCTATTTCATATATTCCTATAATAATACAGGTTTAACTTCGATGTAACGTCACTAGATTTATCGGCAACTCGCATTTAACGATAAAATTTAGAGATCGTGAATTTGAAATGCCTTCCTGTAATTTCTACTAGTTCCTCTACCTGCTGCAATGCTCCTGTCGGTTTGCTTTGGCATTGAAGTCCAGCTGATGCTGAGCACCATGTGATCACCTTAAATTTCAACTTTCTTTGCATCAATTATGGCCTCTAAGTGACCTGAAAACCCTCCCGGAGTTGCTAGTCACTCAATGAAGAGAAGAGTTCCCTGAACATTGTGCAGAAGGATGAAATAATAGAGAAACTCGACCGTGGAGTGTCTGTTCATCAACTTTGTGAAATCTATGGTGTTTATAGCCCCCCCGCCCCCCCATAATTCGATATAACGGCAAATTGGCTTTAACAGCACAGTCCAGGTTCTGTCGATGCCATTAATTGACTTTACAGAACTGCATGGTGAACTGGCCCTTGAACCGTTGATTCTTGCTGGGGTAATGGGGCTGGAATATGTAAAAGCATACAGTATAGGGTTTGAGTAGCAAAACCCAACTGTCCTTTCTGTACAGGTGAATTTATTAAGAAAATCTATCATATACAGTTCCAAGTGTATATCACCGTAACTTAATCACTGTAGCTATGAGTGTTAAAATGAGGACGGAGGCTTTATTAAACAGCTCTTCTAATTACGTCCTCCTTGTGTGAGCGAGTGAGTGAGAATGCCAAAGCAGCTGGCTTTTATATGCTGACCGAACAGTCTTTAGGGCCACGTCTCAAGGAACTTACCCATCACGTGATGTGACCATGTCACCTCATAGCCAGTGGAAAGTTACAGGGGGTGATATCATTATATAAACCCAATGTACTGCCCTGACATTTATATTAGAACTAAGGGGCTAATACAATGGTTATTCAGATTCATTCCATATTCAAATTGTTTATTTAATTAAAAAATAAACATACAAATTAAGCCCAAATTCAAATTAACGAGGGTACAGTGCACTGTATCAGTAATATCTCCATTAACCGGAATCCCCAAAACCCAGAACTCTCCAATAACAAGAATTGAAATTTGCTCAGAATTTTTCCGGAAAATTCCTTAAATTCCTGCTTTGGGAACAAACGAGGTTAAAAATCAGGAGCATTTTCTTAAAAAAAAAAAAAATCCTGTCAAAATGTTAATTTCTGGGAGAAAATGCCGATTATGAAATAATGCGCAATTACTGAAAAATCTGAGAAAATGGCGAGAAAATCACTCCAAACCTTTCAGCCAGGGCCTGGGAACAAGGGTTCCCAGCGTTATGAAAGACTGATCATGTTTAGCTGCATCCTTACATGGTTGGTGTGTGAGTGGGGAAGACCAACCGCTTGGGTAATGCTAAATTTTTCTGCTCTGTGTCTATTTATACTGGGTAATTACTGTGCAAATATAGGTATTTCTTTAAATGTACAGTAGCTAAAACAACTATATGTGCATACTTTGTGGGAAACAATATGAGACCATGGACGATAAATTTTGGTATATGAGGACTGTCACTAGTCACACATAAAATTTCGGAGCATATCGACCCCCACCTCCACAGATAGTTGTTTTAGCTACTGTACATACAATACTAAAAAAGAAAATAATACAGTAATAAATCAATGTAATTCCGAGCTGAACTAACAAGGTGGTGAGGTGATGAGGTAGTAGGTGAGGTGACAAGCCAAGACTCTTCCACAGCACTACTAAACCATTGTCTAATAACATTTTATTTTATAATTTCTATTTTAAAATTAATACATACATGATGGCTCGGTTTGGCTACTTTTGCACTTAGACAACTGATCAATGAATAAACCAGACATATGGAGATGCATTATACACAAGTGATGTCACGAAGCTTCACAACTGCAACCACAACTGCTGAGCAACTTTTACTCAAATGTACTAATTTAATTTAAAAAAAATTTGTCTAGTGCATTTATTTACCCAAATTAATCACCATCTTGCAAGAATTCCAGAAATGCAAGATATATTCTGCTAAGTCAAGTCAGTGGCATTTATAAGCAAAAAAATTAAACTCCCTGGTTTTTTATAATCATGAATCCCTGACCCCAACTCCCCTTCCTCCTAACAAGCAGGGGAGGCAGATGACGGTGGGTGACAAAGATTAAAGGGACAAAGGTGGTTTTAGGCTTAAAGCTTTTCTCTTGTAAAATGCTACAGACTTAACTTTGCAGAATATAACTTGCATTGCTGGAATCCATGTAAGATAGTGATTAATTTGAGTATAAACATCTCATAGTTTACACATGAGACAAATAGTTTTGTCCTTTAGCTTAGTACATTTGAGTACAAAGTGAGTACAGTACAGTGATCCCTCGGTTAACGAACACAATTCGTTCCACAGAGTCGTTCTTTAACCGAATCCATTATTTCAATACAAAGTAAAGCCAAAAATGCATAAAGTCAGAAACACTCCAAAAATTCCCCTAAATCGCCCTTAAATCACTATATATATACAGTAGTCCCTCGGTTAACGAACGGTTCGATTAACTAAATTTCGGTTAACGAATTAACTCCCATAAGGATCTTCAATTCGGTTAATGAACAAAACTTTGATTAACAAAATCCTTACGAACAACATGTTTTGTTGTGAGGATCAGCTGATGCGGTGATCTGCCAATTCAGTAATCTGTTCTATGTTTACATTCATTTCCAGTGGAGTAAATATCAAGAAAGTTGTGCTTTTAATATTTTGCATTTTTTATATTAAAATTATTAGTCATTTTAACATTTATTTAACATATTGATAATATATGCAGAACAGGGAACTAGTTTTTTGTGAGCCCATCAGATGCTTGACTCAGCCACCTGACATTAGTTGGGCTTTGTTGACAGTGGAGTGAACATCTATTTTGTTGGTGTCTTGAATATTTTTGCATTTTTACACTGAAATTATTGGTTAATCTGAAATTTAGTTAACACATTGATAATATATAGCACAGTGCAGTGTTGATTTAAATAAAATAATCTTGAATTACACCTAGTGAACTTAAAATTTTATTGGTGAAATGACAGCATCAAGCATGGGTCCCTTGAAAGGTGATTTCTCCTCCATCCCCACTTCCTTCTCCCTTCTCCTCCACCCCCACTTCTAATTCCCATCATCAACCAGGAACCTTCTACATACACACCTCAAAGTAAGTGTACTTTAGTCAATTTTTTTTTACTTTGTATATGTACTTTTCGGTCAGCTGAAACCAATTACCCAATATCCCATTGAAACAATGGATTCGGTTAACAAACGACTCTGTGGAATGAATTGTGTTCGTTAACTGAGGGACCAGTTGGTGGTGTGGTGACCAGAGCAGACTGAGGTATCCTACAGGCAATGTTATCAGGAGTTTAAATGCCACTGCCAAGCTCTCATCCCGCCTATTTTATGGATATGAGATTGGTGATGAAGCTGAAGTCACTTTACAAGTGTCAGCAGTTGATTTTGAAGGCTTTAAATCTGACTAGGCTTCACCCTCTGCCTGGTCCCCCCATCATCTCCCAGAGTTTCCCACACCTCCACTATTTGGTGGAGTATAGCACAATTAACTTCCTGGGCTTTCTTAAAATATATATTTATGAATGTAGATGCAGTTTATGTGACATTTTGTGTAATTTTGGGAAGGTTAAGTTGGTTACCCAAAGTTGTCCAGTACAATACAGCGATTTAGCACATGTTAAAGGACATTGCTTGCGTGGATTTCCGATGCATAGATGTGCATCAGTACGATATACCTGCTCAAAATGAGACCCCACTGTAATATGGAACAGCCAAGGCAACACCAGTTTGGCAGAGGTCATTTCTATAGGTCTTGGTGATCACTTTATCACTTACTGCTGCAGAAAAAAAAAGTCTGGGGAAAGATAGGACAACACATGGTAATCAAAATAAAGTCAATAAAATATTATAATAAACAATTATATATTCTAAAATAAACTACAAAATTTTGAGTGGTCTCGTGCAACAAATTGCAGAGGTAAATGAAGTTACATACAAGTTCAAAACTAGCTTTACTGATGTTATTGATGATATAGAAAAATTAAAGGAGATATGGATAAAATCTAGGGCTTAAGCTTAGATGATTAGCGAGATATTAGAATCCATCAGACACAGAGATCAACTCGCTCATAATATTAAGAGACATGATGAGGAGTTACAAAAAGTTCCTCCCACCAGCTCTACCTTATGTTTATTAAAATGGAAAACAGTTCCTGTTACCAACACAACCTGCATCAAAAGACTAAGAGGGGATGAGACTTCCGACCATGGCCAGGAGTACCAGAGAGTTAATTGCAAACTTTTGTTGTATTCAGGTAAACCTCAATTTACGATATCCCAATCTATTATAATTTGCATGATGCTAATATTATCTTTTTTATTGCTTTCTCTCCCTATATACAAATCAACATAGAGTTCCGTGGTTGACCTTTTCCAAATCTTATCTCAGATTATTTCCTAATGTAGAAGGGTAAAGTATTTACTTACTTTTATAGGTCTTTCCATATCTGGACACTTCCATCTCAAATACAGTAGTCCAGCTACACTACAGAGAATGAACATGCTTTCTACAAAACTAGCATATTCAATCAGGCTGTAGATATCAGTTGTACACAGATACATTAGTGACAGAAGTCCCTGAAAGTACAAAAGAAATACAAAAATATGATTTATTTTTAACATAAAAAGAATAAATTAACATATTTTCAGGATTTAGGAACAGATTTCTCATTAAATACTGTAAGTTATGTCATTTCCATGAGGACTCAAATTTGTTTATGTTCAACAAACCAACTAGTTGAGTGGGGGTTACCCAGTGTCTTGGAAAAAGTGTTATGAAAAACCTTAAAGAGGAGGATGTTATTTCAATAGAAATACAGTATGATTATGTTTTAAATTTGAGAAACTATTATGGTTTATACTTAAAGTACTCACAAGAAAGACAAGTGATGTTGTGGGAGTATTACATTTGTAGTTGATGAGTGCTAAACAATCTGGGAAGTGTCCTTGGCGAGCACCCACAAAACACAACCTGGATACAAAAACATTATTATTGATGTTACTTTCATGCATTAGATGAAAGTTACCAGATCTTCATTCATTAGTATAACATTAATTGGTATTATGATGAGCAGTCTCGTGATTACTGCATTGTGATCACATCTGTAAACACTCATAATATTTATAAATGTAGTCTTGTAATACCTATCATGCATATATGACCATAATACTGACCCTTAAAAATAATCCTGTGATCAAGAAGGCCTTGGCCAAATATACACAGAGTGTGTCAATATCCTACAACTTTCATCTACAACAAACATGGCTAAAGGGTCTTTGGAAAAAATGGTACAACTGTCAAACTAATGAAAAAAAATGGCACAGGATATATAAAGGTTTCTCAAGGTCAGAAGACTTGTAGATTCTGCTGGATATATAAAGGTAACATTTCCCTACAGACTTACAATGATACACTCTGATGTTTGGCTCCCCTCTTGCCAGAGTCAAGCAAATACATGACACAAAAATGTACACATCTTTCCTGTATTTTTTCATAAAAATTTCATTATATTAAAATATTAATAAACACTAACCTTGAGGAAGTCATAATGTGCACAGACAGTCCTCCAAAAGCTGAGAGTGCTACCAAAATAGGCATTATCCAACTTCCATAGCTTAATAGTTTATCAGCAAATGTCTGCAAAGAATAATATTTTTTTTGTTAATAAGTAACTGTACCACCAATAAAAAGGGATATAACTTCAAGCTCGCCAAGTTATCATGCTAAATAAACAAAAGGAAATACTTCTTCACACACAAGGGTGAAACACTCTACCAGCTCAAGCTGTGGAACTGAGAACAGTAATGGACTTCAAAATAGCCCTTGACAAAACTATCAAGAATAATGGAGGGATCCAACACAGGCCACTGGCCTTCTTCCCTCAGCATGGCCACCTCTAGTCGGTGGCCATTAGTTAAATACAGTAGAGGCAATCCTGGATTACAAAAAAAGTTCTGTTCCTGGACCCTGATTGTGTGTCAGAACTGTGTTAATTCCACTAGCTAAGTTAGGTTAAAACACAACCCTGCCTATACAAAACAAATAATGTAAATTTTACCTGTAAATAAAGTGATCAATATATTGGGATACCATTAATTTTTATTCTTTAAAAATGTCTTCCAAGAGACCATGAGATAGTGGGCTGCAGTTGTTCAAACTAAAGGTAACTCATTGAGCAAAAGAACATGTAGTGTCATCACCCATACATGGGCTACATAATACTGCTGGATAATCTTTATTTCCATTAGCAAATCAGTTAATCGTCTTCTTATATTTTTAATCTTAAATACATATTTAATGTATCGTATTAAAAATATTTAATACTTATCTAAGATATGAAACATCAGACATATTTAATGTTCTTACAATGAAGATAGCGTGGACACACTACAGTAGGTACATGAGACAGCCAACCAGTGAAGAATAGGATAAAGCAAACAATTCTAAAGCCATTTTTTCTTACTTGAACATTAAATCATCATTTCTGAACAACTGCTTACTGGACTGTAGTTGTGCAGGCTCAAGGTGACACATGTCATAAGGGAACAATGTAATGGTGGCCTGTTAGCAATTACCATGCCCATCATGCTGCCATCTATTAAGGGTGGGCGTCATTTTTATGAACTCTCTTAGACACTTTTACATAGGAGCCTGTGATGTCATATATATGATGTCATACCACCACTGGGTTGCCAGTTACTGCTCTTTCATCTAATGTGCCCATTTACAATGCAAATATGCACCATATATACTAACCTATTAAATAAAGGAACATAAATTATGGCAGTGGTCGGCAACTCCGTGGTGGGTGTGACATCATCCATGAAGTTATGTACATGACAATGCGGGTCAATCACAGCACCTGTGGAAAAGTGTCTAGGAAACTGAAAAAATGCAGGTAGGCAAACTTTGTTTTCCTTATTTACCTGATCAATTGTCTTTGTGTGATATCTATTTATTTAACTGTTAGAAATTATCTTGTGAAACAAACAGTATTAAAAATATTAATGTTTCTCTAAGATATGAAACAACAGACATTCCAGTATTTAATGGTTTTCTTACACTAGAAGTCAGAGCCTCAAGTTCAAGAAACCTGAAAGTGTTGAGTTGTGACCTATTGTGCAGTAACAACCTACCAGAGAAAGTTGTGACAGTAAGAGTTGTGATCTGTTGTACAGTAATAACCTACCAGAGAATGTTGTGACAGTAAGAGTTGTGAACTGTTGCAATAACCTGCATTAGCACAAAATAATGGTACATATGGTTCCCTCTTGAAGGCCCATTGCATTGATGTCAGCAGTGTATTTTCACTCATCTATCCCAAAAGAGATTTTCTTTGTCTCTTGCTATCAACACCACTCTTGTTACTTCTTTGGTCACTTAGCATTCATGTTAGAAAGGTTATAAAGGACAAATCAAGAAGCAACAGAGAATAGCCGGTCACTTCGATATATATTAGACTCAGAGGTCAGTAAGAGACAGAAGCAGTAAACCACTGCAGGTGGGCTGGCACGATGACACGTTGTGGCTCATGTTAAGTAGGGACGACCATTATTTTATGTTTTAATCCTTACTTTATTTTTTATGACAACACAATAAATATGGACCGTGTTATATTACAGTATTTATATTATAACGAGATTTGGCAAGTCTTGGGGAGAAGCATATGTTTATCTAGGGGGTTCTTAGGGGGAAGACGCCCCTGGTCTAGAATTTTCTGTGGTTCTAAGAAGGCCAGATTAGAGAGGTCACACATTAAAACAAAATTTTTCTTAAACAGCATAAATCAAATTCATATAAAGTAAAAAATATTGTCATATCTTACATACCACGGCAATAGCATCTGAGGCTAATAGAGCTGTTGGTGTAAGGACAGCCAAGTAAGCCACATTGGCAAGTACATACACCAATGTCACCACGGGCAGGGAAATATAGATGGCTCGTGGCAAATTTCTGTGGAGACAACAACACATTATGCATGTATCTTTAGTATGTATTATAAGTATATGATATACTGTAATAAGTAGTTACAGTAATTTATACAGGTATCATAAAAAATAAAAATAGTGAATAGAAAATACAGATACAAATAAGTTCTGAACACTTTATATAAACGATAACCGCGTTAACCAGAATAATTGGTGCAGAGCGGTTCCGGGATTTATATGTTTCGTGGTATGGAGACAAATTTTTTATCCCCAGAAGTGCACAACCCAGGAATTTTTCTGGGTATACTGGGGAAAGTTTTCAGTCTAAATTACTCATCTTGCATGGACAGACACTCTCCCATTACATTTAGGCTGTGGTCAGGAGCAAACATATTTATGTATGGCTAGCAAAAGTGTCTAAACTTTTATCTACAGCAGCTGTTCTAATTGTGCTTCAACAAAATATTATGACACACTTCACTCAATTGACTGTACTGTAGTACATAACTAATCATGTCTAACACTTGCGAAGAAAGTTGGAAGATCATTGGGTCACGTTCTAACCTGACCTGACGCAACGTCAGGTCACCCAGTGTTGGGGGGGGGGATTAGTTGGTCTTATGACCTGAATATGTCTTGAATGACATTATTTTATACCTATGATGTATATACATCTTACTATACTGTACTGCATTGTATATGAAGGGTACATGTATCAATAAGCACAGATTATTACAGTAACATAACTGTACTACTTAATTAAAAACAAATAAATATTAATGTATCATGAATGAGTCATTACTTTAGGCAAACAGTGAGGGGAGGAGGGTGCTGCAGTCACTTTTACCCCCCAAATGGATTCTTCAACCTCTTACAAGTTCACAATGAGAGATTAACCTTATAAAATGTCATTGACTTGACTTACGAGAATATAATTTGCATTGCTGGAATTCTTGTAAGATAGCGATTAATTTGAGTATAAACATCCCTTATTTTGCACCACACACACTCATGTGCAGTCCAACGTAGTTATTCATGTATAATGGTAGCCTCGATGCTCCTACAGTTGGTGTCAGCAAGAATGCTGGCATTTGTTCTCTTGTCTTCCCAGCGAACTCGGAGGATGGAACATAGACTACGTTGGTGAAAGTTTTCAAGTGCCTTGAGGTGCCTCCTGTATGTGATCCATGTCTCACTGCCATATAGTAGGGTGGGCAGGACCACTTCTCGATATACGTGCAACTTTGTGGATAGTTTGAGCTCCCTACAGCTGAACACACGATTTCGGAGTTCGCCCAAGGCGTGAGATGCACATCTGATCCAATGCTGAATTTCTTCATCGATGTCAGCTGTGATGGACAGGTGGGAGCCGAGATACCGAAATTGGGTAACATTAGAGAGTGTAGTACCGTTAAGCTGGATACATAGTGGAGGTGTCTCTGAACCAGGGGCAGGCTGGAAGAGAATCTGACTTTTACGTACATTCACCTCAAGGCCGAAGTGTGCATACGAGTCTCCTGTAGGTCGTGTTCAGTGTGAGCAACAAGGGTGAGGTCGTCTGCATACTGAAGTTCAGTAATGGAAGCTGCCGTCACCTTTGCTCTTGCCTGGAGTCGTCTTATGTTGAATAGACACGCCCCCCCCCCCACACACACACACACACGGGAATTAAGACAACAAGCATCCAGTAAGGGTGTTGTTGTGTGACTGCATGGAGGCGAATTAAAAGATCAGCTGTTGAGGAGCTTATTGCTTGGCAACACTGGTGCATCTTACCGTTCCATCTCTAATCACCCACACCTTTCTGCTTTCTCATTCCATATTTTAAAATGTTATGTAATGTAATGTTGAAGGGATACACTTTGCTCATTTATACTTATACTTATCACAATCTCCCTAAAAATACTTTAGCTTTCATATTTATTCAAGATATCTTCAGGTCATGAGACCCACTAATCCCCCGGCCAAGAAAGGGTGACCTGACATTCCATCAGAAGGTCAGTAATATGCGGCCACTAATCCCCCACCCTAAATCCACCTGATATTAAGTCAGGTCAGGTCAGTTACACGAGACCCACTAATACCCTACAGCTCCATGGGAGTGGAAAATATCGGTCTTTGCTGTAACACACAACTTCATTCACACCCATATCCTAAAGATTTTTAATTTTCAAATAGATATATTTTACCAATCTTTTAGATAAACTATTCTGGATCATTATAGTAAAGAAATGGAGTTTCTAACTTAACTAGAACTGCTTTAATGGACTCCGGTAGTTTAAACTCAAGGAAAACATCCCCAGCACCCAGAAACATTCTGGGGAAGTGGGCCAGTGTCCGTCTGTGCAAGATGTCTAGTTTAGACACTCGGAAACTTTTCCCAGTAAACAGAAAAGATTCCGGGGATAAGGAATTTTTCCGGGTTTGAGAAAGTCGTCTGGTTAGCGGGAAATCTCTCATACCCGGAAGTGCTCTGCACCAATTGTTCCGGCTAACAGGGATATATATATATATATATATATATATATATATATATATATATATATATATATATATATATATATATATATATATATATATATATATATATATATATATATATATATATATATATATATATATATATATATATATATATATATATATATATATATATATATATATATATATATATATATATATATATATATATATATATATATATATATATAACTTCAGCAATGGACCTGTTACGTGGAAAGCGTAGTTTTATAATGAAGAGGAGAACCAGGGTAAACACAGACATCTTGAAGTAGGGCTTCTTTTAATTGCTAACGTTTTGGAAATAATCCTTTTCCATCATCAGAGCCTAAAAAGTTTTGAAAAAGTTTAAAAATACAGGTGATATACAATAAAAACATAATATCATACGAAAATTTACCATACTTGAGAGAACAACAAGCTTTATCTAAAGGTCTGAAATATGCTTTTAATCCCCGCAAATTAAACTTTTTTAACCATTTCCTTGGTTTTGAGAGTCTTTTTAAGAAACTGTCTCCTCTCAGTTTATATGATCCAGTATCAAAAGGTTTGCATTATTTCATTAACTCTTTCCGCCACTTAGCGTTTTGGTTATATTATTCATACAACTCGTTCAGCACCAAACAAGCTCTTTCTAAGGAAGAATTTCTCGCACTTAAAAATTTAGCATCCAACGACAATATTATCATTACTAAACCAGATAAGGGTAATGTTGTTGTTATACTCAATAAAATGTTCTACTTTGAGAAAATGATGAATATACTTAACAACCGAACTAAATTTGCCCCCATTCTAGACGATTTAATCAGGGTAATTCTTAAGTATGAGGACAAGATAAACAGATTTCTTCGTAAACTTAGAAAAAATAATGTCATTAACAACTCCGCCTTTTTAAAACTCTTTGTTAGCGGATCTAAACCAGGTATCTTGTATGGTCTACCAAAGGTACACAAGGATGAGTGTCCCTTACGCCCTATATTGTCTGCCCTTGGCACTTTCAACTATAATCTGTCTAAATTCCTCGTTCCCATACTGTCACACCTATCACCATTAATCAATACTCTGTTAAAGACTTTTAGTTTTGTTAAGGAGCTAACTAGCATCTCATTCAACAACTGTGTTATGGCTAGCTTTGATATACAGTCTCTATTTACCAACATCCCTCTTGCCGAAACTATTGACACATGTACAGATGAACTGTTCTCAAATACTGATGTAATTGATGGATTCAATGGACCACGATTTAAAGAATTTTTAAAACTGGCTGTAAATGATTGTTTGTTTTTATTTAATAACAAAGCTTATAAACAATGTGATGGTGTTGCTATGGGTTCACCTTTAGGTCCCATGTTGGCCAACGCTTTTCTCTGTCACCACGAGAAGCTTTGGCTTACTGAATGTCCCCCCAATTTAAGCCTTTGTTCTATCGTCGGTATGTTGATGACACTTTTTTAATTTTCAGATCACTTGATCACGTCCTTATGTTCCTAAATTATTTAAATTCGAAACATGGCAACATCAAATTTACTTGTGAATTGGAAAAGGAAAATATTCTTCCATTCCTTGATGTTAATATCCACCGTCTTCATAATAGTTTCGAGACAGCCTTATACAGAAAACCAACTTTCACTGGTTTGAGTTCAAAATTTTCATCTTTTATTCCTCTTAATTACAAACGTAATCTAGTACGTACTCTTACCAACAGAGCCTTCAATATATGTTCTAGCTATTTCCACTTGGATATTGAACTAAAATACATAAAGGAACTACTCTTTAACAATGGTTTCCCAAAGAGATTTACAGACACTTATATTGGCAAAACGCTTAATAGGTTTTTTAGTCCCACACAGCCTGAAATCCACACTGTCCCTAAATTTTCTATCTATCTCACCATCCCATACACAGGCCCACTCAGTTTCACCCTTAGAAATAAACTTAAGAAGCTTTTCAATTAATTCTATCCACAAATTTCTCTTAGACTAATCTTTAAAACCCAGAGTTCAATTAAGAAATTCTTTAAAATTAAAGACACCATACCCACACACCTGCAATCATCAGTTGTTTATCAATTTACGTGTGCTAGCTGTAGGGCAGCATATATAGGTAAAACTAAAAGACATTTGATAACTCGCATCCATGAACACTTGGGCCGTTCCGTTCGAACAGGCCATTTAATCACACAACCACCACATCCAGCTATTCGTAACCACGCCCACCAACATGACCACCTGTTTTCGCCGTCTGATTTCTCAGTTCTTGGCAAGAGTGACTGTGATACAGACCTCCTCATTATGGAAGCATTACACCGGTATAAAGAAAAGCCATTGCTTTGTGATATGGCCTCTAGTGAATTGTTATGTTTTTCACATTAAGGCTCGTCTGAATTAAGGTAATACCCCCCTGTACATTTTATTTCCTGACTTTAGCTTTGTATGTAGGTCTCTCGTCATTTTTGTCGGTTTTGAAGTGGATTGCTCTTTTTTAAATTTTTGAAGTTTATCATATAGTAAATTTTCGTATAATATTATGTTTTTATTGTATATCGCCTGTATTTTTAAACTTTTTCAAAACTTTTTAGGCTCTGATGATGGAAAAGGATTATTTCCGAAACATTTGCAATTAAAGGAAGCCCTACTTCAAGATAATTGTGTTTACCCTGGTTCTCCTCTTCATTATATATATATATATATATATATATATATATATATATATATATATATATATATATATATATATATATATATATATATATATATATATATATATATATATATATATATATATATATATATATTCTACTCCTCGACTTAGGACGGGTTAGGGACCCAAATCCAGGTCGTAAGTCGAAAATGTGAAGATAATACATAGAAAATCTAAAATGGGTGTCTCTTTTTCTTCTCAGCACCACAAAACTCTCACTTTTAAACTTGCCAGCAATTTTAAAGGGAATTACAAACGAAAATTTTGTCAGTAAACAGTGCAATCACTAACGTCGGACTCGAGAATACGTAATTTGAATTTTTTTTTGTACGACTGCGGCCGTCATACTGCATGTCCGGATGGTCGTAAGTCGAGGAGTACCTCATTGTCCTTTATATTATATTAAAATATTTTACATTATTTTTGAGTCTAGACTTTTGGTCGTAATGTCTAATGACACCTTACGACAACTTCGGCTGGCACGCTGCCGTATGTGTACAACATACACGTTGTATCCCGCTTAGTTTGTGTATAAAAAAGGTAAAAGTTTTACAATTATTACATGTACTATGAATATTTTCCTCCGTTCGACTTACGACTCAATCGTCTTACGACCTGGTAGTCGGAACGGAACCCTGTCGTAAGAGAGAGAGAGAGAGAGAGAGAGAGAGTGTGTGTGTGTATGTGTGTGTGCATATGTAAATTTATATAATGTATATTTATATTGGGTAACTTTCACTTATAATCAAATGGTCTATGAATTATAAATTTTGTTTTCTATATCAAACAAATACCTGTACCATATTGGTACAAACGAATGACTATAGATTGTGAATATAAATCCTGAAAAGAAAATAATATTTATTAAGACACCTTTAGAAATTCCTTGTCATTAACTGTAATCTTCAAGTTTGATTTATAATACTATAACTTTTAAAACCAACATCGATGAATTAGAGAACCATCCACATATCTGTGGGTTGGTGACCACAGTCCTCTATTCTTAAACATTCTTGGGCTGTTTTTCCCAATCTTCCAACATACTCAACTCTAAAACCTGGTGACTTGCAATATAAAGTGTAACATGATGGAAAAACTTACACAAAAGGATTCTTCAACTCTTCAGTCATAAAGTTGAGGTAATTCCATCCAGCATATGAGAAAATGCCAGAGTAGAAGGATACAGCAATTTGTCCAGGTTCAGTTGACGTACCCTCAAATGCATTATTGAAGTTCTGAGTATTTCCTATTTGGGAGAGAGCAGATTGTTTTATCATGTAAAGCAAACTTAACTTAAATTCACCTGCACAGAAACACATCATCAGCTTAGAGAGTAACAAAAATGTAAAAATTACATCCTTCCAATTCTTTCACTACATGCATGCCACTTTTAATATTTTATTTTGCTCACACCAGAAGCTTTTATTCAGCTCAGAGAGGGATTTGTACACAAGGGGTCAATAGATTTCTGTTTTTCCATCTATTATACAGTATAGTAGAATTGGAGGGAGAATATAAATACAATGTTAATTCATATATTAAATAAAGATAAATTCTTAACTAGTTTGGCATAAAAAAATATATAGTTTTGGTTTATTTTTCTTCCTTTAAGATGGCAGACACAGGATAAATGTAACTGGGGTAAACTGAACTGCAATATGTGGCAGTAGGCCAGTGTCAGTAGCAATGAATAGGATTTTTTTGCAGGGGACCAGGTGTGGCTTGCTCACATATGTACACATATAATATACACTGTGTGTATATACTGTATTTGAATAAACACAAAAAGAATAAAAAAAATTACCACCTATTTTTTGGAGCTCTGGCACCTCAAAATTTAGCACTGCACCCCTGGTCTTAACTGTTTGCCCACATCCCTATCTGTAAGATGGACATGACTCAGGTTGTGTATACAGTGCTATATATGGCACTACAGTAGTGTACATAATTATACCCAGTAGAAGAATAAGGTATACCGAGTCGCTCTACACTTATGTTGGGATTTTATTCTTCTCTTCAATGAGATTTGATTTTTTTTTTGTCATGAGATTAGTGATGAGGATAAAGCTTCTTTTTACAATAAAGGATAGAAGTGTGTGACCTATAATGTCTAACAGCTGTGTTTTTAAAACAACTGGAAGGTCACTTCTATGTCATAAATGATAAAATTCATAAACTTATACTTTTAAGAGTAAAGGAACCTCCATAAGAGCTAATATTTCCCAGTACATTATCTTGGTACACTGGAATTCTGATGGGTACAGTATATCAAAGTTTCACATTCCTTTTCACATCGTTTTTAAAATACAATAAACCCTTGAGTATTTTTTTACACTGGAATGTACTGGAAATTATTTTAAGCAACACAGAATGTTAATATGTAAGTAGGCAGCTATCAAACAGGGAAGTACTACTGCCTGGGAAGACATTGGATGCATAATGACTGTAATGTCTAATGGTAGACCCTGCTGCTATATGGCACCACAAAAACTGTGACCAAGTCCCAGGTTGCTGTTCTGACTTTCTGCCTCATTTACACACAATTGTAGGGTCTCAAAACAACATACATATATCATTTCTCACTCTTTATTTGTTTAATTTTCTTTTCCAATTCTGCATTTATTTTTGGTAAAAATTATTATTATTTCCCCCACCCTGATGTGGGTCAGCAACCTGTGCCTGGGTGGGCTAATCCCCGTAAAAAAAAAAGCTACCTGATAGGGACTATGTGGATAAAACACATTGTATGCTAAGTTTTCAGTACACAAGGAAGAAGTATGCTTGATACTGAATGTGCCCTGTAATCAAACCAACAACTCCTATGACAGGAAGTGAGCACTGTACAGTATGTACTTGACTGCAACACAACATAACACAGAATGTAACACTAATTAAAATCACAGCAAACTAAAACCTAGGTAACTACATGGTGTGACAAGTCCTACTATGTCAAGAGTAGCTCATAGTGTATCATTAAGTACTGTTTACATGTCAGTTTTTTGGCATAGATGTATTCCATACACCAGCTTTTTACAGCAAACTTATTTTATATCAATGCGTAACTCAAATAGTGTGCTGATGAAGTGATTTTTCAGCATATGAAATAAATAAATTGACTAATATAGGTTTAAAATTAATTTTTGTAAGTGAGCTTACAGAGACTGTATTTAATGTTAATAGATACAAAGTATGAATCAAGAACTAAGCAGACTGTGAAGAGCTGCAGAAGGATCTCTGTGGGATCCAAGAATGGTCAAAGAAATGGCTGCTGAGATTCAATGTCACAAAGTGTAAGAGGATGCACCTGGGGCGTACCAACGGTAAGGAAGCGTATCATGTGTCCCAACGGGATGATGAAACTGCACTAGTTGAGACTGAATGTGAGAAGGACCTAGGTGTGTATGTTGACAATGAGCTGAAGTTCTCGGGCCATTGCGAGAAGAAGGTAAATCAGGAATTATTGGGTCTTATAAGAAGGTCTTTCAGATATCTAGACAGACCGTTCCTCGTAACGATCTTCAGGAGTGAAGTGCTTCCCCATCTGGAGTACTGTCACCCCATCTGGTCCCCAAAATATGCTAGGGACTGTCAGTTGGTTGAAAATGTTCAAAGGAGGGCCACCAGACTGGTGTCTGCACTTCGGCACCTCAGCTACCCTGAGAGATTGGAGCGCCTGAACTTGCCTAGCTTATACTACAGACGGGCAAGGGGGGACCTAGTTGAGGTGTATAAGCATCTCAGGGGGCACTACTCAGTTGAGTGTCCTTACTTGGAGCTGGCAAACGCTCGCCCCATAAGGGGTCACAGCTCAAGATTGAAGAAGCCGCAAGTCCAGAAAACTGTGAGGGCAAACTTTTTCGGAGTGAGAGTTGTGAACTCTTGGAACAATCTACCAGAGAGTGTTGTGACGGCACTGAGTGTGAGCTCTTTCAAGACAAGACTTAACCAACACTGGAGCAGGTTCAGATACATTCAGGAGTCAGTGCATGCCCAGTACTTGCAAACAGTGGTGAAGAGGATAAAATTAAAAAATAAAGGTGCTCCTCTACTTAAGAACGTTCAACTTACAAACTTTCAGAGATACAAACATCATCACTGAGGGAGGTTACCTGCCAGAACAGGTGTTTAATGTGGATGAGACTGGATTATTTTAAAGAAAATTCCAGATAGAACAAACCTTACCTAAGAGGAGAAGAGTGAGCCAGGTTTTAAGGCTGTATTAAGGGTATAGCTGTACTAAATATCCACAATCTTTTCATTTTTTACAATACTGTATGTTTGGTATCGACAAGAGTAAAGTTGGACTTACAAACAAGCCTCAGGCTTACGTTGCTTAAGAATAAGATGAATAAGCAGGTTGTGAGTGAAATACAACCAAGCCTAGGATTGCTTTTGCTATCCTTGTGGAGTCTTGGTAGCAATCCCTGTTCACACACAGAGGTCCAGGGTTCAATTCCTGACTATACTCACTTTACACTAGCTTGGTCCAGAAGCCACGTCCTCATTTCTATAAGCGAGCTAATTGGTTCATATCAAATGTTGTTTTGCTGTCTACTTATTCATACTAATGTGTTCACTATTTATTATCAGACCTGTCCATTTATTCAAACTGAATGTGTTCACAATTGGTAAGTAGACCTGTTATTCTCTAAAATACTGTAATGTTAAATAACTGGACTACCAAAATGCAAATGATTTTAGGCATGCCATCCCATGAAGAGTTTTCTTGTAGTATATTATTTATGTGATAGTTATCAACATAATTAACGAATTGTTGGAATTACCTTTTCTTTATTCAGCATTTATTTTTTTATACTATATTCAACCTCTCCTTATCTATTTTGTTTAAATAATGAAAAAGTACAACCAATAAATTCTTTGTATTTTTTGCCCTTTCAAATGAGACCTTACTTTTGAAAATCAGTCCATAAATAGTGGAGAAATATCTGAAAATGCTATAAAAAACACCTATTTTTAGAAAGCAAGCTGGAGTGAGAGCTGCTGGGAGCAATGAATCGTTCATCTGACCGCTTCAACAGTGTATAGACTTCCCCAACTAGCCCAGCACCTCCTCTGTCTTCCTTCCCTCTCTCCACATCACAGTAGCATAACAGAAAGAAGCCAGATAGTGCCAGAGAAAAGAGATCTATAATAAAGTCAAAAACATAATGGGAATAAAAATTTCTTATGTCCCTGTTAATCATGGGAAGGGCAGCACAGCAGGAGGGGGTGTAGTGTCAGTATCTCAGCCTCCTGCCAAGAAGTGAACTGCATTACTTGTTATTTTTCAACTCATATTTTTGGGTAGATATATGTAATTTAATTTTTTTTTCTTTACTCTGTTACATGCTCACACAATTTTTCATCCAGAATGTGCCCCAAAAAATTATCATGAGGTAAAAAACATAAAGGGATAAATCATTTATTACGTGTGTGGGAGCTAGCACAAGAGAGTGAGGGTGAGAGGGAGTGAAATTCTCTCACGGCTCTGTTGTCCAGTGCTAGTGACAATATTGCCAAATGGCAATGCACTATTTTTCGTCTTTTATTTATTTTTATTTATTCCTCACATTTACTGGTACAGTATATATTATATGTACAAAGAATAGCCTCTTCAACACGTAAGCCATCCTTTGGGTGACATGACGCGTTCAACTGCTTAGCCTGGCCATCACCGGGGATAAGCAGAACCTCCCATGCATCCCGCGTGGATCGCATGTGTTATGCCCTCCCATAAGGTAATGTACCAAACTTAAACAGTATTTATTAATTTTCTTCATGTGTTAGATGGTAATTTCATGTGTTAGGTAGTACAGTAAATTAGAGGAGCTGTGTACTACAAACCATTAGCTAGGTACCCATTAGGCTTTGTTCTTGTTTGTGAACTGATTTTGTTTTGGGGGTATGATACCGGGGTATTTTGTCATTGGGGAGCCAAACCTTATTTTTCCCATATATTTTCATTATTCAGAAATGCAAATTCACCTAGTGTATGGTTTTTTTTGGAGCCTAACCCATTCGTATCTTGAAGGATACCTGTATAGGTTCTTAGAAATTAAACCCTACTCTTTGAGTTAATTATATAAAACACGTATATGAAGATTCAACTTACCCATAAATAAGTGCACCATGCCAGCAATAATAACAATAAGAAGAGCACCAATTTTGGTCACCATGAAGGCGTCCTGAAGTTTTGTTGTCAGACGGACATTCCAGCAGTTGATGAATGTTAGAAATGCTACAAAAATAAAGAAAACATTACTGTTTAGTTTTATGCTTAATTCCTAATAGTTAATACAGTAAATATAATAACTGTAGAGAGATGATATACTGTACATCATAATATGTATTTGGTTCTCTGATACATATTCATTATATTGTTCACATGTGGTACAGAATAAAATGAACACATTTTCAGTTAGTTCAGCTTTAATGTTATACAGTATGTTAATTAATCTTTGTTAACATATGAGAACCTTACAATGCTTGTTACTAAAGGTGTGAAACTCTAATATTGGAGAGATACTATTACTTCCTAGGATATGCACTATCTTTAAAAGAAATTAGAAATAGAGTACAATGCTATCAACCTTTTCTATCTACAGTAGAACCTCGATAAATCAGACTAATTGGTGCAGACCCCAGTCCGAGAAATGTGAAAGTCCGAAAAAAGCAAATATATGGGGGGGGGAGGGTTTGGAGATAACACTGCTTATCTGAACTGTTTAAAGAAAATCAGTTAATACATATATTATGTTATTACTGCACTTACTTCAACTATAAAAAAAATATGAAACAGAACTCTCTGGGTTGAAAATCAGACATAAAGTCTGGTTGTCAACAACTGTTGTCACCAAGATGTTCGTTATTTACTGCAAAGTGTTATATGCAAGTAACCACAGAATTTGTCTTATGAATAGAGAGAAAACTGTATACTGTACAGTACAATAAAGAAAAAATAAGAATAAATAAGTGTAGGAGTATATTGTATGTGGAAGACGAGTGCTTATCTGGGAGCAGCTGGCAGAGGGGAGGGTGGCTCCCTCCCCCAACTCCCACAAGGTTCCTTTAACACTTCTTTATGCAATTCCACCACAATTCTCATATAATTTAGGATCATTTGGAGCCAGGTTGATAAAATATTATCCAAAAATAATCAGCTTTCCTGAAAAAAGAATTCCACACTGAACTGAGTCATTTGTTTACAAAGAGCAAACAGCTATTTAGCTTATCACAATGTCTGTCTTCAACACTTAGTAAATTAGTACAGTCGTGTATTTATCATCATTTAACCCTTAAGCCCCGGGTTAGGGTGCTGCTGGCATTCCCCTCTCCCCCCCACCCGGGGATAAATCGAGAAAAAAATAAAAATAAATAAATTAAAACGTCACCCCCTAAGGGTTAATAAATACAATTGCAGTGTATTTATCACCATTTAATAACTACTATTGTGTATTTATTATCACTTAATAAGTAATATTGTAGTGTAAAGTATTATGCATCTGCATATACCCTGGTTTATTCATTAATCATTTGTCTAAGTGTACAAGTAACCAAATTGAGTCATCATATAACACTCAAAGGTGGTAAATAAAGTTTTTAAGAAGGTATCTTTATATCAAATACTATACAGTGTGTTACAGTGACCCTGTTGTAAGCTGGTCTACTGAAAGCTCTCACATGAACGCATCTTGAGTAAATAACCTTCTGATACAGCTTATCCTTTTATTTTTAAGTCATATTACAAATTACATACAGTATTGTATTTTTTCTCTATTACTGAAGATGTTATCTTAATCATGAACCATAAGAGGCCAATCATATGAGAATATAATACTGAATCAATAAATAAATAAACCTGACGAATGAGGCAACACCTGATCAGCCCCAGCCAGCTTACATACTGAAGTGTTTTAGTTCTCAGTGGGCCTATAGTAAATCTCATTAGACCACTGTACAGTATTCAGTAAGTGTTGTTCATTTCATAAGATTTTTTTATTAACCCGTAATAGGTCACATTATTATACTAGTTCCCTGTACTGCAATTATGTTAAATAAGTGTTAAAATGACTAAAAATTTTAATATAAAACTTGGAAAATTATTGAATAATACAACCTTCTTGATATTTACTCCAATTTTAACGAATGTAAGCCCTAGAACCGATTTCTGTATTAGCGGACTAATCTTTCAGCTGGTGAGCAGGCCAAAGCATGTCGAAACATTTTCGTAAGAATTTCATTAACCGAATTTTTGTTCGTTAACCGAAATGAATTCTTATGGAAGGTAATTCGTTAACCGAAATTTCGTTAACCGAGGCGTTCGTTAACCCAGGGACCACTGTATATTAATATCCAGCTACCATAAAACCCCATCATGGCTCAAATTGTTAAACGCAGGAGATATGAAATTTGTTCTAAGCTGAAAGTGGTAGCATATGCCCAGTCACACAACAATTGTGCTGCTGCAAGAGAATACGGTGTAACCGAGAAGATGGTGAGAGACTGGAGATCAAAGGAACACTTGTCGAGGAGTATGCCCAGGAATAAATGTGCAATGAGAAGAGGCACTGCACACTGGCCGATTCTAGAGAAGCACGCAGTAGACATGGTCCATGAGCAGCGTCAAACTGGATATATTGTATCAAGAAACAAGATACGTATTTGGGCACTTAAGTGGGCTAAAAAAAATCAAGTGCACAGCAAAGACTTCAAAGCCACGGCTACACCAAAAAAGAAACGATCTAGTACTGAGGAGTGAGCAGTGTGGGAGGGAGGGAGCAGTATGGGAGAGAGGGAGCAGTGTGGTAGGAGGGAGCAGTGTGGGAGGGAGGGAGCAGTGTGGGAGGGAGGGAGCAGTGTGGGAGGGAGGGAGCAGTGTGAGAGGGAGGAAGGAGTGTGGGAAGGAGGGAACAGTGTGGGTTGGAGGAAGGAGTGTGGGTGGATGTAACCATGCAGTGGGACTGGGAGTGACAGGGGTTGGTAAAGTGGAGGGAGTACTGGACATTCCTGGAGGTGGGGAGGCCACCAACCCTCTCCTCCACTTGCCACTCATCATAGTCATCCACATTGATTTCCTTCTTGTTCAAACACGTAGTACGGGTCACTATCATTATCATCACCTTCAATATCACTAACAATACATGCCTCTCTGTCAATACCATGTTCATCTTCACTCCTACCAAATAATTTAGAGTATATCTCATCCTAATTGAGTTGCGTTCACGTGCCATAGCTATCGACAATCTACTGCGTAGGTAGGAGCTAGTTATCAAACAGGAAAGTGCTACATCCTGGGAAGATATTGGAAGCATAATGTATCATCTAATGGTAGACCCTGCTGCCATATGTGACCAAGTCCCAGGTTGCTGATCTGACTTTCGGCCTCATTTACACAAACTTGCAGGGTTGAAATGTTTCCCTTACTTTTGACAACACAACATACATACTGTTTATTGATTCTCACTCTTGACCTTTCTTTTTAGTTTTATATTTATCGTTCTTTATTATTAGTAGTAGTATAAATATTATTAATTACAATTATTTCATTTTTGTTACATTATTATTATTGTTATTATATTTTCATTCCCCAGGCCTCGTTTTGGGTTAGTGACCTGTGCCCAGATGGACTAATCCCATTAAAAAAAAAAAAAAAAAAAATCGTGGCCTTGACTGTGGGAAGAGATGGGAGGGTGGCCTCAATGCACAGTGGTGGGAAACATTCCAGACACCACCAGCCAACAGATTATGGTGGTGAGACTCAGTTTCAAAGACTCGGGAAAAGTATATAAGGAAAACGTTCTAGTACATGAATGACCAGAGATAGTGACATTGGCGATCACGTACTTGAACGTTAATGATCAGCTGCGGGTTAATCCTCCCCATTTTTTAAAACGTGGATTTTTTAAAAGTATTTCTGATGACCAGAGCATCTCAGAGTCCGAAAAAGCGAATTCCGATATATTGAAGTCCAATTTAACGATGTTTAACTGTAATTATATGTCAGAAACTATATTAAATTTTAATTTACTTTAATTGTTCAAACAAAGTTTATTATAATACAGTACTGTAGATATGAAAGTTCTTTTTAAAAAGTTATATGAATGCTTAGATGGTTTCCAAAAAATATTTTACCAATATGCAGTGTACCGTATTGCAATGTTGACCATACAATATAAGTAGTGTACCTGCATATGATAAACTTGAAAAAGCAAAAGACATTTAATGTCATGTACCCCTATACGCTGCATGACAGAGGAGAGACTAACTACCCAACCAGCTACTAAGCTGATCAAGGATAGGTACCAGGAAGTAAATAAATAAGGACAAAAGTTTAACTGTCCTAAATAAAAGGGTCATAACAGTGGAAAATATTTACAGAAAATGCCAGTTACTAGAACTTAGCCTCAATATTTAAAATATGAAGGTGCACACTATATTCTATTTCAATTCATGAACCATTTCTCAAGATACCAAACACAGTAAAGTTACTGGACAGAAATACTGTGCTGTATAGTAAAGTACACTGTACAACAGAAGAAATCTTTTCTAAATTGAACAGGAGCCATAACTGTGGCAAATATGTCGTTAACGACTTAGAACCATATGCCAAATTTCATTCCATCTTGAGAATCCTATATATCAAGCAGCTGAATGGAAATTTTTTGTAAGGGTGAATAAACAGTGATAATTCTGTACTGTACTATATTGTATTGTACTGTACTGTACTACATTGTACTGTACTGTATTGCATTGTAATGTACTGCATTGTACTGCACTGCATTGTACTGTACTGCATTGTAATGTACTGCATTGTACTGTACTGTACTGCATTGTACTGTACTGCATTGTAATGTGCTGCATTGTACTGTACTGTATTGTACTGTATTTTATTGTACTGTATTGTACTGTATTGTACTGTCCTGTATTGTATTGTACTGTACTGTATTGTACTGTATTGTATTGCACTGTATTGTACTGTACTGTATTGTACTGCATTGTATTGTACTGTACTGTATTGTACTGTCCTGTATTGTATTGTACTGTACTGTATTGTACTGTATTGTATTGCACTGTATTGTACTGTACTGTATTGTATTGCACTGTATTGTACTGTACTGTATTGTACTGCATTGTATTGTACTGTACTGTATAATCTTGACAACTTGAAAAAGATAAAACATAATGCACATACAATGAACTCTTATTATCCCCCACTTAGCATTAGATTGGTGAATAACTAACTTTGGTGATAATGATGCTCAGGCAGCTGAGGCCTGGCAATAGAAGTACTGAATTAATTACAAAATATTATACCATAAAAGTTATCATGCATTAAAGAATTTGTTTTTAAATTGCACTATAGTAAATATACTGCCATTTTTTGTAGCTACACTTATTGTATGTGTGTAATGTTCTATAGATGAAAAATGACCCTATAATAAATGTACAGGTTTGCAAAATATATTGCAGAGTCAGTTATACTCCTTCCGGTCATCACCTAAATAAAATCAATCCATTTCCTACCAAAATCACTTCTCATTAATTGTTGGCTGTTTGTTCTGCTTGTGCTATGCACAATACAGAACATCATACACAACTATTAGCATCAGGGGAATATAAGAGAGTTGCAAGCACCACACAAAGTCAATGTCCTATCTTTTGTGTGACCAAAATAACTTTTGAGGAGTGAAAATATTTTCTTGAAACTTGGCAGTGATATTGGTCTTCTTACAAGTTCAAAAGATGTAAATAACAGGCATGATCAGATTATATTAACCAGGAAATTAGGGTATTTGAATACTATTTATAGTTTGTTTGCCTTAAGATGAACATATGGTACCAGTTATCATGTGATTATGACTGTCAGTAAGAAAACACTATAAAAGCATCTTCAAAGCACAAAAACCTATGGCAAGATAGAACAGATATAAGAGGTTGGTTAAATCACTTACTTATGGAAAGTGCTGCAATGAGTCTGACTGCAGAATCTGGTATATTACAGTCAGGGAAGAACGGCTGTATGACATATTTGGCAAAAGTCAATCCCATGATTGCATTAGTCGTAGGTCTGAAACAAGTTATATTCAAATAATAACCATACTATCAAGCAAGCACTTTTTTTTATTATACCAGTCTTTTTTGCCATGATGCAGAGAAACCAAGCAGGTGCTATTCCAGTAGGTCTTTATCCCTGAGTGTATGGCGTCGCCTCTGAGCTGAATAAAATCATCTGGCAGGAGCCAAATGAAATAATAAAGGTGGCATCCTCATAGTGAAGGGGTTAGTGGAGATCGTGTACTAATCCCTAATGTAAAGTGTCACCTCTGAACTGAATAAAAATGTCTGGCTTTTAATACTGGATACTGAAAGTTTTAAGGGTGCTAAGTACCATAGTCAACAACATTCCAAGATAATTTTGCCATAAAAAAATTCCACAATAATCTCTCAAAATAACTGTATTCAACAAGGCTTATGGTAACAAAAGATGATATTGATGATGGATGATACTGTCAGGTGGAAAAAACTTACACAAATATGAGGTTTGCATCCCATAAGAACAAAAACGAGGGGAGAGATCCAAAGGCTGTGTTGATATAAGCGTAGTCCCCTCCAGATTTAGGTATTGAGGTTCCCAGTTCAGCGTAACACAGAGCACCAATCATGGATAGAAGACCACAAAGAACCCATACAGTCAAGGACATTCCAACACTTCCTGTTTCTTGCAATACACCCTTAGGTGAAATGAAGATACCTGTGAAAAGAAACATTTCTCTTATAAAAGCATAATGATAAGGGCTCACAAAACTCACCCCCACAGTACAGAATATTTTGATTGGTAACCTTTTGTATAATATGGACACGAAGTAGTACCTTAAGCTGTGTATTCTTATATAACTCTATTAATTATGCATAGTAAAGTATTACAGAACATGTACTAATCCTATGTAATATTTCCATTTATTATGCTCCATGTTATGTATGTGAATTATCATATTTACATATTATGTATTCAGCTTGTGAATGCTGGCATCTGTACATGCCAGCGCGGAGTGATACAGAGAGTTGAGATCGCTAGTCCTTATGGTGTGGAAGCCCACTGTCTATTAGTTCCTCTGTATATCTCCCGTACGAGAATAAGAACCTATTTTCAAGATAACAAGTGTTTGCGTATACCCTCCGTAGTGTAGAACATTTTAGGGGTATCAAAGACAGACATAGACCTTTGACCTTTATCACCAACTTTCAAAATTTAGCAAGGTCTAGGACTTCATGCTTAGTGTGAGATGTTTAAGTAGGATTAACATCTAACCAACCAGTAACTGTCCTGGAAAATGTCCTATCGTGGATCAGTGATCTCTGTTACAATCACAAATACATGGTGATCAATAACATAAAGTCTTTGTGTTTACCTGTGTCAAGTGAAGTTTGCTAAGACCAGGGTTGTTTGTCTGTTTCATAAATGACATACAACATATTTATTTACTGCATTCATATCAATGTTTGCTGATAATGATAAGTTATAGTGGGAAATTCAAAATTTTATTGACTGCAAAGCTTTATAAGGCAACCTTTATCGGATCCAAGTAAGGTCACAGGGATTGATTCTGATAAACAATGTTGTGAAATGCTAGAGGATGCATCTTGGTCACAATAATATAGTACAGAGACATATGGTATTGTATCACATCTTAACATAATGGAGCTGGGTATTTTTGCTGAAAACATACTGAAATTCTCAAAAGCTGGATTAATATGAAGATCTTGAAGATTAGGGTGGATCATTTGCATAAGTGATAACTTTTTTTGGTTTTTGTAATAGCAAGTTAGCCGAGGTCTCAAAAAATGCCCATTGGTTCAGGAAAGGAAACTGCGCCATATGAACTTGCTATGACTAAGATTTCCAATGCCCCATTAGATTTTAACTTTACAGTAGATGGGGATGCTTGTCAAGTTCTGCCTGTACCATGGACACAGATCGGTATATGCAAGTATTTATACATAACTCATATCTATAACAAGTATCTGTGGGATATACTCCTGATGACTGTCTGACACATTTCAAAGAGAAATGTACCTTGGTCTTTGTTGAGATCTTTTTATTCTGTCAATTTATGGTAAGGGCTCATCAACATTAATGGACTGAAACTGCAAAACTGGATTATACTCACATTTGTTCAGTATGGAATTTCATGGCTGGCATTCTTTATTTTCAGGATAGGAAAAAAACTAACTCTTGGACAGAGGGTAAGTGATTAAAAATAAAGGTTAACCACGAGAGAGAGAGAGAGAGAGAGAGAGAGAGAGAGAGAGAGAGAGAGAGAGAGAGAGAGAGAGAGAGAGAGAGAGAGAGAGAGAGAGAGAGAGAGAGAGAGAGAGAGAGAGAGAGAGAGAGAGAGAGAGAGAGAGAGAGAGAGAGAGAGAGAGAGAGAGAGAGAGAGAGAGAGAGAGAGAGAGAGAGAGAGAGAGAGAGAGAGAGAGAGAGAGAGAGAGAGAGAGAGAGAGAGAGAGAGAGAGAGAGAGAGAGAGAGAGAGAGAGAGAGAGAGAGAGAGAGAGAGAGAGAGAGAGAGAGAGAGAGAGAGAGAGAGAGAGAGAGAGAGAGAGAGAGAGAGAGAGAGAGAGAGAGAGAGAGAGAGAGAGAGAGAGAGAGAGAGAGAGAGAGAGAGAGAGAGAGAGAGAGAGAGAGAGAGAGAGAGAGAGAGAGAGAGAGAGAGAGAGAGAGAGAGAGAGAGAGAGAGAGAGAGAGAGAGAGAGAGAGAGAGAGAGAGAGAGAGAGAGAGAGAGAGAGAGAGAGAGAGAGAGAGAGAGAGAGAGAGAGAGAGAGAGAGAGAGAGAGAGAGAGAGAGAGAGAGAGAGAGAGAGAGAGAGAGAGAGAGAGAGAGAGAGAGAGAGAGATCAAAGTAACTCATTTATCATAAACTGTCAGGCCTGTAAATGAGTGACAGGTAATCAGTGACTGGTCACTTAGGCCACAGTGCAAATAGAGTTCAACCTAATATACTCATCTAAACTCCTACCAGAACCGATGATGATGCCCAGGATAATGGCAACACCCTCCAGCAACCCTAGTTCTTTCTTGAGCTCAGTCTTGCCCTTGGTGGCTTCATCTCCAGAGTCCTCCCTGAGGCTGAAGGATTCCAACCCCAAGGCCAGTGGCTCTGCCGTTTCACTTGTAGGTATACGTCTACCAGGCATACTGAACCTGCATGAAATAAAAAGAAAAGTAAGTAGGGTCCAAGTTTATAGGAGATTAATCAATTTTAATAATTTTCTTTGTATATATGTGTGTGTGAGTGAGTGTCTGTCTAAAGACAAACTTGAAAAAGTGCCAAATGGAACCCCCCTCACCTGGGAGACAATTACCCTACACCGTAACGCTTGGAGGAACACCACACAAGAAGGTGTCAATACACCGAGGCAGACAAGCGCCTATGCCAGAAAGACGCTAACGCCGCCCCTCCTGCAGTAGATGTAGCCCTCCACACCTGCAACATCTGTGGACGACCCTGCCGGTCCCATATCGGCCTCTCTAGTCACCGCAGCGCTCACCAACAAAGGTGCCATCCTTAATAAATCATATAATTCTATTATAGCTGGATGACTGTCATACTCAATTCTGAGTGACAGCAAAGTAGTAGTAGTAGTTGATCAAGACAGCTTCACTCATCTGGTGTTCACAACCTCTGGCGGGATGGGACCAAGTGCAAGATGTTTCTACGCCAGACTCGAGGAGGTGTTATCTGAACGGAGATGTCGACTGTCCTTCTCTCTGCTTAGGTCTGCATTGCTTTGCCTCAGGGGAATGAGAGCATCGGCCCCAAAGCCGACAGCAGTCGCAGACATCGACCGAGGCAACAGTCACTGAATGCCGCATAGATCTGCGGCTCAACTAACTCAACACAGCTAGGGTAGCTACTTATGTACAGTACATGTATTAGGATATTCAATTTTAAGGTAATAAAATGGCAGCAAAGATGTGGCTATTGGGGGAGGCTGGAGGCAAAAAAAAAAAAAAAAAAAAGTAGTAGTATACTGTAGGTTAAACCTCCCTAATCCGGTACTCTATTGTCCGGCACCTCCCGTCGTCCGGCAAAATTTTAGTTTGCCGGACGGCCGCTAGTACCCACTGGCGCTAGTATCCATCGTTCGGCATACCCTTTGATTACATCTGGTCCTCGTGGAGTTTGGTACGTTCCTCGGTATTTCAAGTGTTTCTGTAATATTTCACTTGTTATTTACCCTTAATATGCCTCCAAAGAATATTTTTATTATTTAATTTACTGTACAGATATTTTATTCTTCTTTACAGGTGAACATCACAGGTGAACATTACAGGTACCGTAACTATTTTGTCATTTTAAGTGCAGAATGAGAGCTATTGTTTATCTATTTTCGTTTATCACAATTACACTGTACAGTATAAGTGGATATAACATGAGATATGATCCAAGAGGGGTCGCTTTAAACCGAATTCTCACTAAATCGAAGTGTTGTTTAAAAGGAATAATTTAGTTTGGTACTTGAGAGAAACACAAAATACTAAAAAGCCTGAGAGTCTACCCAGGTGCACCTCAGCCCATCTTCTAGAATAAACAAAACATTGTTTTTTGTAGTATTATGTTAAAACAAACACTCATCAACACAGCTACAATTAAGGGATGCGAAATGGTGTGTTTACGGGATGGGGGGAAGGAAGGAGGTGAGGTGAGGTGATATGTTTGACAGTTGATGCCACGGTCTAGTGCTTATTTATTTATCTGTCCTTGAGTTTTTTTTTTTTACGGGAATTAGCCCACCCGGGCACAGGTCAAATGACCCACAACGGAGCCTGGGGGGCCAAAAAAAAAAAGAACGGAAAGAAATTGTAAATATGGAAAAAAAGGTTATACTGTATTAATCTACACCACGAAGATGCCGGAAAACCAGCTTTTTAAAGTGAGACAGATTGTAAGAGCATGGAAACACAGAAGAAGGCAGAGCATTCCACAGTTTGGCTGTGTGAGGAAAGAAGGAAGTACAATAACGGGCTATTCTCGTGTGACCAACATCCACGGAGAAACAGTGGACACCGCCGGCAAGACGTGTGTTACGAACCCACAGCCTTGCCGGCGGTACACAGGATGCCAAATCCACTGAGCATTGCCCGTTAAAGTACCTGTAAAAGAGAGAGAGTGAAGCAAAATTGTGGCGAAGAGAAAGGGAAGAGAGATTGTCGACTAAAGGAGGAAAGTTAATAAGACGAAATGCCATTGATTCCACCCTATCTAATAGTTGGACAGAAGAAGAGCCACCCCAGATATGAGAGCAGTACTCCAAGTTAGGACGAATGAATCCCTTATATACTTGGAGCAACTGCTCAGGAGTGAAGTAGCTGCGGCATCTGTACAGCATTCCCAACTTTCGGGAGGCAGCTTTAGTTATACTAAGGATGTGTGATTTCCAGGACATATTGGAGGAAATGGTGAGGCCTAACATATTTATTTCAGAATTTGGGAGGATGATAGCATCCTGAAATGTAATTGGTGGGAGATCGTCTAATTTACAAAGTGTAATTGGTAAATATTGAGTTTTGTTACTATTGAACTTGACCAAGTTTGTATCTCCCCATTCAGAGATGCTGCACAGATCCGCGTTGATAGAATTAATGATATCAGTTCTAGAAACAGGTCTAGTTTGAGAGTTAGGAGGAAGGGGAAAATGTGAGGAAGAGTGAAGAGTGGAATCATCGGCGTAAGAATGGATAGAATTAGTTGTAGTGTGAAGTAAATCATTGATAAAAAGAAGGAAAAGAGTTGGTGAAAGAACAGAACCCTGTGGGACGCCACTATTGGTAGAGAAAGAGCGAGAAACCGATCCATCGACAACAACTGCCATGGATCGGTTCTCAAGGAAGCTAGAGATGAGAGAACAAAGTGGGGGAGAGAAACCAAAAGAGGGAAGTTTAGATAGCAAAGACTTGTGCCATACCCTATCAAATGCTTTGGGGATGTCGAGGGCCACGACAAAAGTTTCCCCATAATCCCTAAGAGAGGATGACCAAAGATGGGTGCAATAGGAGAGCAGATCACCAGTAGATCTCGCACGGCGAAAGCCATACTGGTGATCCGACAAAAGAGAAAGGCGTTCAAGGTGACAGAGAAAATGGGAGTTCAAGATAGTTTCGAAAATCTTGGAGAGGGATGAAGTTAGGGCAATGGGGCGATAGTTAGAGGGGTTAGAATGGTCACCTTTCTTCGGGATGGGCTGAACCAAGGCATGCTTCCAAGAAGAAGGAAAAGTTTGGGTTTTGAGGCAAAGGCAAAAGAGGCGAGTAAGCACAGGGGCCAGGGCTTCAGCACACTCCCTCAGAACATGAGGGGGTATTCCGTCCGGTCCATGCTCCTTACTCACATCCAACCTGGATAACACACCGGCAACCCTGCGAGTGGAGATTATAGGAAAGTGCATAGGTTCAGTAGGAGGTGCAGGGGTAGGAGGGGTAGAGTGGGAATCGTCTAAGGTGGAATTAGAGGAGAATAAGGTGCCAAAGAGGTTGGCTTTGTCAGGGGGAGAGTTGGCTATAGAGTTATTGGGGCGGAAGAGGGGAGGAAAAGACGGCGTGCAGAAGTTGTTACAGATGTTTTTAGTTAAGGACCAGAAGGATTTACTAGAGGAAGAATTAGTCAGGACAGCGGTCTTTCTTTTAATAAAATTCCGCTTGGCCCTACGAAGAATAGCCTTACAACGATTCCTAGAAGTAATGAAAGAGGTGTGGGTAATAGGAGAAGGAGATAGTTTCATAGCTCGATATGCCCTATCTCTCACCCTGCAAGCAAGAGAGCAGAAGCGATCAAACCATGATTGTAATGTGAAAGTTTTGGTAGAAGATGGGATAAATGCACTCATACCACTCTGTATAACCCCAGCAATGCTGCCAGCACATACTGAGGCATCCCGAGTGGAAAAGCAACATTCATCCCAAGGAAAGTCGGCGAAGAATTCTTGCAAGGATTGCCAGCTTGCCCTCTGATAGTGCCATAGTTGACATTTACAGGGGGGTGGGGGAGGTGGTCGTGCCCAGCTTGATTTAATAGAAATAAGGTTGTGATCAGAAGACCCTAAGGGGGCAAAAATTGAGTATGAATAGTGTGAGGGGTTAGAGGTAAAACAAAGATCAAGAATGTTAGCAAGTTGATCGTGTCGATGAGGAACGCGTGTAGGGTGTTTGATTATTTGTTCCAAATCATTAAGTAAAGAAAAAGAGTGTGCCTCAGCTCCACCTGGGTCATCCCTTGCAGAGCCAAGCCACTCTCTGTGATGTACATTAAAATACCGTAGGTAGAGGATCTCGGTGTTAGGGTGTGTGGATGGCAACGACTCATGGCAAGAAGTGAGATAGTCAAAGAATTCGAAATAGTTGGTAGAGTGACTAAGTTTTTCTCTTATAAAATGTCACTAAACTGACCTGGGAGAATATAATTAACATTGCGGGAATTCTTACAAGATAGTGATTAATTTTTATATAAACATGCTATAGTTTGTACTAGACAAAAATTTTGGTAATCAATTAGTACATTATTTTGAGTACATGTACAGTACAGCTTTGCCTTTAGGACAGAGTAGCGTGCCCAGAGAAACAATAGGCGCAAAATGTTAAATATGATGCGCCTTTAAGAGTTCCAGAACTTATTTAAAACAATTGTGTGTGATACAAAAAAAAACACTATCACATGCCGCCGAACAATAGGAAACTCCAGCAACAACGGCAAGTCACACTGTTTTTGTTCATGAAGCCAAGTAACAATCTACCTCTGGGTGGCATAAGCATTAGGGAAGTACTATGTATTTTACAAAGACCAACTGTGGTTTGGAAAATTCTATAGTCCAGCACCTGTCAGGTCAAAAGGGTGCTGGATTAGGGAGGTTCAACCTGTAGTATAAGTCGTAGTAGTAGTGCTGCTAACACCTCCATGCTCTGACGGCCTGCTGCCTCATTCCCCTGGATAAGAATCCAGGATGTAGGCCTATAGGGGTGGGGGAAGTGCTGAGGCGGATCATCAGAAAATGCATAATGGAGGTGGTAAAGGATGATGTCAGGGCAGCAGCAGGGAACCTGCAAGTGTGTGCTGGCCACCAGGCTGGAGGGGAAGCTGCCATTCACGCCATGAGAACGATATTTGAACAGCTTGATTGTGAGGCCGTTCTCCTGGTGGACGCTTCAAA